TGGAATTCACCACCACCACCTGAGATTGGCAGTATAAAAAAAAAATTAGGACCAGTATTCTTTTAGCAATAATGGATATCAAATATCTAAAATGAGGAATACATTTTGAAATATTTATTATGACTCTTTTATGGACTATTAACTGGTTATAAAATCTTTAGCAAACATTTTTGAGGAATTTAAGAAGCTGTTTGTTTTCCACTCTTTTTGATAACAGAGGATAGTGACTCTTAAAGTCCCAGCTCCATGCACTGCTTCTGTTTTTGATTTAATACACCAGTCATTATTCTGGGGTGAAAAAAAAATCAAAATTTATCTGCACCCTGGCTACATTTTAATAACTTACGTACATTTACTTCATCTGTAATAATCAGTTGATCAGGTTTTCTTAAACATATAATCTTTTTTAAAAGATGCAAGTCCATTATTACAGTTCATTCCCTTATCAGTCCAGGTCACTTTTTAATCAGAGATCCTCTTACTTGTGTAATCCATGTTTCACATCCTTTATACCAATCCCTAATTGTTTGGGCTTCATTGTTTTATAAATTATGCAAGTCTGTGCAAGTAATGTTTCTCATAGTGTCTGAGAAATAATAAATGCTGATTATAAATATGTATTGGTCTGAGAATTAAGCACATATACATCACCAACCTCACTGAGAGAAATGCTCAGTCTTTTGTAAATACCTACAAATTGACATGAATCTGTACTGGACATGCAAAAACATGTGGTCTTTTGTGTACAGTATATATAAGTCCATTTTTCTAGTTATAAAAAAAGTATAAGCCATTGAGATGAATATTAAAAGTAATATTGTAATAAAATACTAATGGTCTTTGCCCTGTTATGACCTAATTTTTTTCACTGCAATCAGATTTTCTTTAGAATTCACTCCTACACCTGACAGCTTAGGCGCAAGCAGTTTTATCCTAATCCTGAATAAAGTATTTTGACTCATTTTGTAAATACAATTGTAAAAATAAGAGATTTAATGTTGTCTTTTAAATACTCTGATTTTCATTCTAATATGAATGTTGTTATATTGTACTTAGAACCTGTACCTTTAATATTACATTACCTTTATTAAGTGCATTGAACACATCAATTTTAGATGTGCTTTATGTACTGGTCTCCTGTAATAAAACTTCAGCTTCTAATGGGAACTTTTGTCTTCTTCGTTTTTTTCCTGTGTGCCTTATTGGATTTTCCTAAGGGTTCAAGCAAAGCCCCCACTGACAGAATGATGTGGTGATTCTGGGACTGAATGGTGATAAAAAAAAAATGGAAATGAGGCTTTGATGGGGGGGTGGTGGTTCCAAACAAGTTCCACTACCAGAACCTGATTGGTGGTGGTGGTGGGGGGGGGGGGGTTCAGAAGAAATGAAGGGCAGAAGAAAAGAAGAACAGAAGAGCAGAGTTGGAAGGGCCCTTGGAGGTCTTCTAGTCCAACCCTCTGTTCAGGCAGGAGACCCTGTACCATTTCAGCCAATCCTCAATGCCTAAAACTTTGCCTTTTTGGTTCTGAGGTTTCCCAAGTTGAACGTGCTTGAGAACCAGGTTCTGGCCTATTTCCACCCACGTAGCTCATGGGGCAATTTAATGCTCAGCCCAATCTGAACTGCAAGGTTGTCCTTAGGAAAACTGGAGGAAAAACTAAGTATACATTTCGTGAGTCAATTCAGACACTTTTATTTACAACTGATTTACAGTTCAATCGCCAGGGAGTTCCCCCAGTGAAGTGAGAGACCACTTTGGGAGTAGAAGAGGAATCAGGTGAGTTTTATCATTGGCACAGATTCCTGGTCAGTGTTTTTCAACCTTGGCAACTTTGAAAATGGGTGGACTTCCACTGCCAAAATACCCCAGCCAGCAAAGCAAAGCAAAGCTGGCTAGGGAATTCTGGGAATTGAAGTCCACCCATTTTCAAAGTTGCCAAGGTTGAGACAAGGTGACTTCTAGCAGGATGCTATTTATTGCTATTGCAATCTGATTTTCTTGCTGTTTCGAAGGTGCTAATGCCAAAGATTCAGATTTATTCCTAAATCTGCAAGCCCATATTTATTGATCCGCATGGAAGAAAAACCCACGTTATTTGCTTCCCATTCGAAACGCTTGCTGAAAAGACGGCGTCAAGTTCCTCTCTACACGTCCTTCCTCTCCACCCTCTGATTGGACAGTTTGCTTCCCGGGCGGGGCTTCGTGGCGAGGTCCACTCCGTGGATTGGTCATTCCCGGAGCTTGGGGCGGGGCTTGCTGACACTTGCCACCAGGACGGGTAGACGCAAGGCAAGTGGCGGCGGGCCAGGCTCAAGATGGCGGTTCCTGGTTGGATGACGCTGCGCTGGTAAGTGGGACCGCGGGGCTCCGTCGGGGGCCTTTGGGGGTGGTGGGAGGGAGCAGGACCGTGCCCTGACATGCCTTGTGGACCCAGACCCCCGGAGTGTGCGCGGGGACGGGGAGGAAAGCGAGCCTCTGGGCATGTACAGGGTGCCCCCTCCTTCCCTAGCTCTAAAGAGCCACAGAAGCTGGAAATGGATCGTGCCCGAAGGGAAAGACACCTTTTTAAAATAAATATATTTTGTGTCAACCCCATTAAATGCATTTTTGGGGGAGGGAGACGTAAACCCTCATCTCCCCCCCCCAAAAAAAACCCGCCTTCCCCTATGGTCAGACTACACTTCCCATCCTCCCCGTCGCTGCTGGGGGTGGAAGCAAAGCCCCACAATCAGTTATAATACACTGCAAGGTGGTTTATATAATCTCATTATAAGTAAAATGATTTAGTTGCCCATCACGAAAGAGCTGACTCTTTCCCTTTTGTTTGGGGGATGCGTTTAAAAAAAACAAAAAAAAACACGTGTGTGTGTGTGTGTTGTATACGTTTGTCTAGCAAATTTTTTGATTTGATTTCTATAGCCACCCATCTCAGCAAATGATTCTGGGCAGTTCCCAATGTAAAACATATATTACAATTAAAATCTTAAAAAAACATTTTAAAACAGTAAGAAGCATTGAAAAAGTAAAAATTAATATTGATTGATGAATTACCCCCTTGTTTTTTTAATACAGCCCTATTCCAAGACATACATTGTATCTAAAAATAATTTTATTTATTGATATCTTCTTTATTTTGGAGTGGGGCAGTCTAAAAAATGGGATATCAATCAATCCAGGATCATTGGCTGACCTCTCCTGCCAGTTAAAAATTCACCCTTCTCATTTTGACTAAATTTGACTAAACTAAATTTCATTTTTGATTTGTGATGTTGTGCCCACAGTAAAAAAAATGACAATAAATCTTATCTTGACGTACCTTTGATGCTGTTAAATTTTTTATAAATGTGACTGTTTTCTTTTTCCTTCCACCCTAGGGACACCCCCCCTCAAAATGGGCACGATGTGTATTTCTCTCGAGATCTTTATGAGAAATACTCTCTGGCTCCGACCCTCTCCGAACTAATGTCATTATCAGAAAGGTATTAGTCAATGCTTAATGCTTTCCTAAGCATTAGGAGGTGTTTGTTCCTCTTTTCCAAGATCTTTTGTTCCTCTTTTCCAAGATCTTTTCTCCCTTGAATTAAGGAGGGCTTTAAATAAGACCCCAGTGGTGATGCAGTGGGAAAGAGGCAGCAAAGGCCAACTTTGGCTTTCATTCTGTGTGGGGGAGGGCTTGGACATTCCCCCCCCCCAGCTGCTGACCTCTCCTGATGGGCCGCTTCCCCCTTCTCCATCAAAGGCGCTAATTTAAGCTGCTCAAGTTGCTTGATGCTTCTGCTTGCCGAGCCTGGCTGAGTCAGCATCTCCTTCGGAGAACGGCTTAATTAAATTTGCCAGTTCGTACCAGGCGGATGGACACGTTCCTTCATTCCGAGAGACGGCCGGGTGGTGTTATTAAGAGAGGTAGAGACAATGCTGCCGAGACCTTTCTTGGGACGCAATTCAAGATTTTCTTTTTTGACTAGGTCAGCAGTTAAGGCTTCACTTAGTTCATCCCAAATGTGCCTGTGACTTTATCATGCGTTTCAACAGAGTCGAAACACAGAGCGAGCTCATTGCGCATTGAGAGTTGGAGCTTGTGGGACCAGTCATGACTCCTCGGGAAGTGTGCAGGATGCACAAAACCACAAAGCAAATTCTTTGCAATCACAGCGGCTTTAGAAGATTCACACACACACAAACACACACACTCAGAGCACCCCATCAGATGTCAAGATGTGCTGAAAAGAGTTTGAAGAATGATGGGAAGTGGTTTGGGCTGCTGGAAGAAAATGACTTTTTAATGTTATTTGTACCTGCTCCTAAATGGCCGTAGGGTCAGCCCTGTTTCCTGCCAGCCGTTTGTACTGAACTCAAATGTTCTTGTCTGAGGGCAGGAATACATCACGATGTAGGCGAGATTTCAAAGGTAAATAAAAGGGAGTTAAGAGATTGTCCCAACCAGTGGTTCACATCTGTAACTAAAGCATTTTTCCTTTTAAGTAAACGCTGTCTTTAAGATTGGGGGAGTGAATCCGAAGACTCCTTGCCTGTTTTGGCCAGAATGAAAAAGAAAAATAAGCGTCAGAACTGTGTACAAGTAGTCATCAAAGTTCATTTAGTGGACGTTCAAAGAACAACGGCACTGAAAAAAGTGACTTGTGACAATTTTTCACACTTACAACAATTGCAGCATCCCTATGGACATGGGATCAAAATCCAGACGCTTGGCAACTGCCTCACATTTATGACCTGACAAGTAAAGTCAGTGGGGAAGCCAGGTTCACGTAACAACTGTGTTACTAATTTAACAACTGTAGTGTTTCACTTAACGGTGGCAAGAAAGGTTATAAAATGTGGCAAAATCACTTAACAAATGTCTCGCTTAGCAATGGAAATTTTGGGCTCATTTGTGGTTGTAAGTCGGGGACTCTCTGTAATAACAGTGTGCAACTTGCTCCTGGTTGGACGGGAATTGAGATGGCTTGCCTACAGCCGAAGGTGGCTCTGTCTGTTTCAGGCACTCTGAGAAGAAAGTGGCTGCGCCAAGCTCGGGACCCGAAAAGAAGCAGCAGCCTGGCCAACAGTCTAGAGTGAAAGCCGAGCCTCTTGTGGCCCCCCCTCCCCAGGAGCCCAGGGTCCCCTACCCTTATGTTTCCAGCCTGTCTGAGAAAGAGCAAAGAAGATACTTATTTCTTTTGTCTGAATATTTAAATGCCGACCCAAACCTCTTGCACTGGTCTCAGCAAAGAAATTACACACAGTATCTGGTAAGTGCTTCGTATCTTTTTTCCTTTTTTTCTAGTCTGTTATGGAGGTAGTGTAATAGCAAATGTCTAAGAGAATTAGGACTTAAAAACTACCACTATTACATGTGTTACAGCAAATGAAAGAATTTGTCAGCAAAGAAGTTGCAGAATTCTTGAAATTCGCCCAGAACGCTGCTAGAAGCTGTTCTAAAGATTACAGTGACATCTCTGAAGATGCATTGATTTACACCAAGGTAATATTAAAAGATGGCTCTGCTACCTTTTCCAGGAATAGAGAAGCCCTCTGCTTCTAAAATAATAGTAAATCGTTGGGTTTTTCATAGATCGGTTAATTTAAAGAAAACGGAAAAGAAATGCGTTCTGTGCAGAAGCTGCTTCATGATGGAGAAATATAAACATTTCAAGACACGTTTAAAAAACATAGTCTTTTTCTCTCTCTTTTCTTGAGGATTTTCTGAGCGCTCGTGTGGGTTATGTGAAGAATTACCCTGAGTGGTATTCTCTCCACGAAGTGACCAGCCTCATGGGCGGACGATTTAATAGAGAATTGACCCTCAAGTTTGAGAAAACTCTTCTTGCCTTGGTGAGCTCCCCTGGAATTGCACCTACCTTAGTATCTTCTTGAGGGATACAAATAATTTACACTTAAGCGACTGTTCTAAGTTATGGTGGGACACCCCCCCCCCCAAAAAAAAAGCCACTTAGTAATTCCAACACATACATCTTGCAGTCATGCAATCGCATTTGGCAAGTAGTTTAACCTTTAAATTTTTTGATGTTTTTTGCCAGTTTCTGGTGTTAAACTTGCAGTTTTGGGGTGGGGGGGAATGCCATTGGGTAAAATGGATTTGCCTAATAGTCGCAGCTTTTGCCATGTTCGCTTTATGACCTCTGCAAAAAATGTTGTACATTTGGGTCTGGTCATGTGGTGACTCACTTAATGTCTTATTATTATTATTATTATTATTATTATTATTATTATTATTATTATTATTTATTGAATTTATATACCGCCCTATCTCCCTTACGGGACTCAGGCGGTGAACAGGCGATAATAAAAACCACAATAAATATACACAAATTTCTGTCTAAAATCAAATTAAATAACAGGCCTGCTCTAAAAATGCCCCATACAAAACCCCCACTAAAACATAATCAAACTACGCCAGGCCGGCCGCACGGAATAGATGAGCCTTCAGGGCTCGGCGAAAAAGGCGCAGGTCATAAGTTGAGGACTACCTGTCCTGTAGAAATCCGTAAGACCACAAGATGACAGTAAAAACAAAGCCTTTGCTATCCACTAGTGCAGGGGTCCCCAACCTTGGCATGTTTAAGACTTGTGGACTTCAACTGTGGCTGGGGAATTCTGGGAGTTGACGTCCACCCATCTTAAAGCTGCTGAAACTGAGAAACGCCGCTCTAGTGGTTTACTGGATGTTTGTGACCCAGGCTTGCTTCTCCCTTTTCTTAAGGAAGAATGATTTCTAGCCCTGCTTGGAGATTTGGGAGGCTGACCTTCTATTTGACCCTCCAGGTGTGCCCAGGATGTAGGCCTAGGTGGCTTCTTCCTTGGACAGCCATTCAACCAAAGGTATTAACATTAAAAATATATTTTTTCTCTCTTCCAAGGGAATGGTGCACCTTGTTAAGCGATTCTTCCCTAAGCTGCCAGCATCGATTAATTTTCCTGCTGATAAATCTAAGCGTGAACTACTCTGTGGGACTCCGGAGCACCGTGCTGCCCAGCTGCACAATGTAAGGATGCAATCAGGCAAGCCATGTGTTGCGCTATTTTAATCACGTTTGTGCATTAACTATTCCTGATGGCTGTTGCGTCTTCTTTCCACTTTAATAGCTCCCCTTGTTTCTCAGAATTCTCTTTGCAGTGAGTTTTGAAGCCGTTCTTTAAAAAAAGCGATCCAAAAGAAATAATTCACATGTCAGCGCGCTATGGCGCTGCGTGAATGAGCCGTAAGCTGGTGTGAAGTTGAGGTTCCTTTCTCTTCCTGATCAGGAGAACGACTTAATTAGGCTTCAGCTTCTTCACTTTTTGTTATAGGCAAGGCAGAAACTAAGTTTGGACCAAGCCAACATTTGCTAATGGATTAAATTTTGTTTTAAATTGAGTTCAACCCAACTCAGAAATATCCTCTATTTTTAGCAATATCAGAGTTTGCCATTCTTTTAGTTTGGAAGAAAAATATGTTCGGCATTATCATTATGCTCTGTACTCTAAAACAGCTGCTGCAGAGCCGGTTTAGGGAGATTCTTAGGCAGCGAGTAATAAATATAAACATTATTCCATGGGGAAATGGTGACTTTAGCAACCGCTACAGTTTAAGATATCTCTAAACACACACGAACACACCCACGCATGTATAGGTAAGAGTGAGATATTTGTATAAGGAGGGCAGTATTTCATCAGGATGCAGGCTTCACTAAAAGTCCAATTCATGCCGGAACAAAGAGACTTTTGATTCTTAAGGGCACAGATGTATAAATAGTCATGTTTGCCTACTTTTATCATGTGTGCTAAAAATACCTCTGGGACATCAGTTAATTCTTCAACCTTAATAGTGTAATCATATAATTTGGTTCAGTCTAATTTACAATTTATTATCTCATCATTTCCATTTATTTGTAAAGGATGTTAGCACCGATCCAAATGCTGAAAGACTGGCTGCCAAATACTGTCCTCAGGTGGTCCTGACGGAGGAATCCTTGTATACGCTGTTGAACAATCATGGTCTGGATTATAAGCAGCAGTGGGAGCTTCCTGTGTCTGTGAAAACAGTTTCTCTTGGTGGTGAGTTTGATCTGATGCTGACTTGGGCAAGTTATCTCTAAGTGAGGATCGGCCTCATCACTAGAAGTTTACAATGAGCCAAATAGCCTGCAGGTATTTTCATTTTCCTGATTACTGGTCCAATCTTCCTGATAGGGAGTCCCATTGAACTTTGGAATTACGCTTAATTCTGAGCAGAATAGTTTTGCTTAAGTGTTGCACTTGTCTGGAAAGAAAAGCAAACAATTGTGATTACTTTTTATACAAATGACTGTTGATCTTGTAGCAAAGAATAGGAAACTGATTAGGAAGAACAAACAATACGTTGCTTCACAGTTTCTTTTTAATGTTGAACATTAACTATAGAGAGTACAGTTAGTTTATTCTAGATTTTTATTATTCTGTGTATTTATTTCACACAGAAAGACTCCATGTAGTGATTAAAACAACCTCTATTTACGGTTTATTGCCTGTTTATCTCCTTCCAACTAATGATGGTTTAAAAAAAAGTTTTGGGAAGGCGAATCCAGTTCTTATTATGTGGGAAATTTTATTGCTTGTGCTTCCATATTTAGCTGAAAAGTAATTATCCTTCGCCATTAAAAAAAAGTGAAAATCAACTTTTTTCTCCAAAAGGTCTGAAACCAGTCAGAGTGGCCTACATCGACCCCCCGCTCCCTAAGAAGGAGATGACGGTGAGGGAAAAGAACCATTTTTTTCACGAATTCCTGGCAGATTTTCATATGACAAAGCAGTCCAGTATTGTAGCTCGGGCTGTGATACTAGACAAGCCATCAGAAGAGTCGGTGAGTTTCAGTCCTGTTTGGTTTGTTTTTTTTTTGTTTTTGTTTTTTTGTTTGAAGTACTAAAAGAACCTTTGCCTGAATTTCATAGGATAAGAAGCTTGCTTTTAAAATAATAATAAAAAAGAATATTGGCAATTGAAGCCTTCAAGACCTGGCTTGCGATGAAACTGACACAACGTGCGTATCCAGACTTATCCCCATTTTTCTCTCTCTCTCTCTCCCAGCCGGGAACAGGGCTTAAGACCTGCCCAGGCAGACCCTTGCCGGAATCCATTTCTGCAGACCTGGACTTTGATACGGACGTCACAGAACTGGAGAGCTTTGCCTCGGCCGCAAAGCCTCTGAGCGCGTCTCCAGCTGAGGTCGCTCCTGCAAAGCCGGCCGGATGGTCTGCACTCTTACCGGTGCACCTGAAAACGGAAAAAGGTCGGGAAGGGAGGAGCGAAGCGCAGGAGCGGGAAACGGCGTCTAGCAGCGGGAAGGCATCGCCCTCAGGAAGGAATCTTCTGGATTTGGATAGCGAGGGAAACTCATCGGGTGAAACGTTCAAGCCAATGGAAACGGAGCCAGAGGGCAGAAGTCTGGACCCCAATTTCTTGATCGCTTCTTCAGATAAAAATCGTAATCTCAGTGAAGGAACTGCTGAAGACGTCCGGTCCCCTGCCCTGTCCTGCAGCAGTGACACGGATGGGGAACATCTGATCATCGACGCAGAATGCGAAGCTGGCCACGGGTCTGAACCTGGGGCGGTTACTTCCACCTCCGGCCCTGGAGGACCTGCTCCTCCTTCACCCAGCCCTGGACAGGCCCCGTCAGAAAAACCAGCCGGGTCTTCAGAGATGCACAGCAAGAATGCTCCCTGCAAGCCTCCCCCGCGGTTATCCCAGGAAATCGATCCCCTGGGGCAGATTTTGAAAATGCAAACCAAGCTGCTGAAACCCCCATCTCCAAATTGTCAGGGGCACCTGCTGGCAACCAGGGCAAGGAGTTTGAATCCTACCCAAGGCCAGGCAGATGCCCATTCTCTCCCCTTGGCATCTTCAGTCGCGGAGCCGGGACAAAATACCGTAACAAATACAGGCGCCTCCCCCAAGTTTACCTGGGCAACCTATTACCAGGGGCCTCAGAAAGGTAGGCTACGTGAGGCTGTAGCTAGGCTGTAGCTGGAAACCCATGTTTTGCAAGCTTGCCAACTTTGAGATGGGTGGACTTCAACTCCCAGAGTTCAACTTTGAGATGGGTGGACTTCAGTTCCCAAGATTCCCCAGCTAAGCTGTCTGAGGAATTCTGGAAGCTGAAGTCCACCCATCGTAAAGTTGCCACACTGCTGTAAACATTTCTGGTATGTGTGTACACAGTTCATTCTTTGTTCAGAATTCAAGGGAATTTCGTACTGGGGAGAAAAAATCCATTAATGGGTGAAGCCTCTTTGTGCACAAAAGTCAGCAAAACCCCCGTCTTTCCTGAAAGGGATGCTCTGGGATGCAGCCGAAGACGCAGCCGACTACGAACCTCCTCAGCATGGCAACCTGGTCTACAAATTGTACAGCTTGGAGGACATGCTGCTCTTGGTGCGCACCACCATCCAGAAAACGGAGTTGAGACCCCATCAGAAAAAGGCAAAATTCAGGAGGGTAGGTTCTCTTGTTGGGTGGGAGGATGTCTTTGGGGGGATACGTCATGCTTCAGTTGGTTTAGGTTTTAGCCAGCTCCGATGCTGGATTCCTGCTGTGGTCATTATACTTGCGGTCATGTGCATGAACCATTTCTTCCAGGGGATCAAATGTGAGGAGAGAGAGTTCGTAAGCCCTACATTAAGAGAGAAAGAATTGTTGGCAGAAGGTTTGCAACGTGGGTATTCCTTTAAGCTGAGTTTGTAGGGCTCTCCTCTATGATTCATCATCTTTTTTTTTCCCTGGATTTCTAAAAGTGGGAGAATTCTTACAAGTCTCTCCTGGATTTGCAAGAAATAGGAGTGAATGTTGTTGGTTCTTGGGTCATTTTTTTACTGCTGTAGTCTTGGCAGTCTGTTCCGGGGTGAGTAGTATAGGCTAGGATTCTGTCTTTGACTTCATACTTGCTCACCTGTGCAACCTTTAGGATTTCTCCTGAAGGCTCGTGTAGGAGGTACGTTTCTTGTTTCGGAGAGTTTGAGCCACCGCCCAGCCCAATTTCAGCTTCATAAATGAACAGGAAACGGCCGTCTCCTCTCCTTTCTCTAGAATAGGAAAAAAAACAAAAATTGGCTGAGGAAGAAGCTTTCCGGATGATCCCTAACAGTATAATTCAGATGCTTGACTTTCCTATTATCGATAAACAATAATTCTCTAAAAGGTCATTGCTTTCTTACTTGTAGCTGTAAATAGCTGATCTCAGGTCCTAGCAACGGATGAGATTTACGTTTTGCTTTTCCGCTCAGTAGACAGACTGAAAACGCTTTGAAGTGGAAAAGCTTTGGCTTAACTTCAGGCGTTTGTTTTCTAGCACTTTCCTGTTTACGTGTTGCCAAAGTTAGAATACCAGGCCTTCTACGGAGCAGAAACCTTCACGGAAGACGAAGTCTGTCGACTCTGGACGGAAAGCTTGTTACATTCCAATACTTCCTTCACCGTGGGTCAGTGAATCTTCAGACTCTTTTTTTTTTTTTGCACAATGTCCTTCCTGCCAATGGTTTTATGCACCTGACTGTGGTACAGGTGGTCCTTGACTTACGACCGAAACTGAGCTCATCGTTTCTGTTGCTAACGAGACATGTCTTAAGTGAAATTGGTTCCATTTTACAACCTTGCTTGTCACAGTTCTTACAGGAATCCCTGCAGTTGTTAAAACGAGTAACACGGTTGTTAAGTGAGTCTGGCTTCCCCATTGACTTTGCTTGACAGAAGGTCGTAAAACGGGATCCCATGACCCCAAGACAAGGCAGCCCGTCATAAATATGAGTCAGTTGCCAAGCATCCAGATTTTGATCCCATGACCACGGGGACGCTGCAAAGGTCGTAAGTGTGAAAAGCACAAGTCACTTTTTTCAGTGCCGTTGTAACTTCAAACAGTCACTAAACAAACGGTTGTAAGTCGAGAGCGATCTGTAGTGTTCCAGTAATTCTTTCAAAAATAGGGTGGTTTTGAATATACTGAACTTGGCAGATACATCGGATGAAACGGAAGGCAGATGCCGCGGAGATAATTAACACAATGATGAAATGTTTGTCTCAAAGCAGCCGATGATATCGTGGTAACTCCTACCTTGTGGCTCATATCAAAGCCTCTTCCAGAGCAATTAAAGCAACAGCAGTAAAATCCCTAACGGTCCAAGCTGGGGAGTGCCCCTTCTGTGCTGCTGCCACTGAGAAATGAGCCTCTGAGTAGTTTGCTGCATCAGATGGAGGGTGTCTGAAGTCAGCCTCAGTTTGGAGGGAGTTGTGCTCTCCCTAGACCTTAACCTTAGACCGAAAAATCTAACTTGAGTCTAGTTCAGCCACACCCAGGAATGGGCCGTTTTCTGAGTAATATACAGGATGGTTTAAATCAGAGGTCCCCAACCTTGGCAGCTTTAAGACTTGTGGACTTCAAGTCCACAAGTCTTAAAGGTGCCAAGGTTGGAGACCCCTGGTTTAAATGATTTAAATACCCTTTTGAAGCGCTCTTTACTTTTCAGGCCTAGTGCATGCATCATCCTAACCAGGGTTGATGGGATAAACCACAGTATATGGCAACTGATAGGCTAGGGCCGTGGTGGCGAACCTATGGAACGCGTGCCACAGGTGCACGTCGTCACCCCAGTGCTAGACCTTCAGCTGGGTTTTATAAAACCTTTTCGCTGTAGGCCTCCGCTGCCGTGTGCAAAAAAAAAAAAAAGTGCAATCAATCAATTTCAAGTTCTTGTGGGAAAAAAAAAGATCTTGCAAAGTTGGAATTGATTGATTGAACTTTTTATCCCACCCAGTCTGCGATTACCACCGCAGCCACGCCCATCCAATGGGCCACACCCACCCGGCACCCGACGATACATAAGTGGGTTTTGGGTTGTAGTTTGGGCACTCGGTCTCTAAAAGTTTTGCCATCACTGCCCTAAGTGGAATTTTCCTCCAATGCGATTTTACCAGGAAACGTAGATAGGACAGGCTAGAAAAGTCAATGCCCTCCTAACCATACCGAAGCACTCCGAATTTGTTGGCAATGTCCATTTTGCTCTCCGAGTTCATGGTGACCTAACCCTAAGTGGAATTTTCCTCCAATGGGATTTTCCCATGTATCTTACCACGAAAGATAGATAGGGCAGGCTAGAAAAGTCAATGCCTTTCTAACCATACCCAAGCACTCCAAATTTGTTGGCGATGTCCATTTTGCTCTCTGAGTTCATGGCGACATAACTAGGGTGATAGGTGAGCTTAGCCTCCGAATTATGTCTGACTTTCCTTTTGTTTCAAGTTCCGATGTTGTCACGATTTCATTTTAGCCTAAGCTGTGGTGTCTCCTGCTTTGCCGTTTCTTCATTTCCGTTTGGGAAAATGTCTCTTTCCTTTAGGTCACATCGATGCCCTCACTTCACGCGTCTTCCTGCTTGAGCGGCTGACTGGGAAGGCGTTGGAAAAACGATTCGGCACATTTAAGTAAGTAAAATGGGTGACAAATAAATGCAACAAACAAGCAAACTTCCCATAATAGAAAGGTTGACTTACAGGGCTCCCTAACCATTAGTTCCTCTTTCTACATTTAAGTATTTTTCTTCCAGCAAATGCAGTTGAAATCATGGGCTTTTTAAAAAAATAAAAATCACTTAGTTGTATGATCTTCTCTCCTTGGTCTACAAATACTCAACTCTCTGTTAGTTTTTCGTTGATTGATCGTTTAGATAGGAATTTTATGCATAAGCGAGCTACTAATATTTGGACTTGGCTTTATGACCATAACTGAGCCCGGAAGCATGATCTCGTTATTAAGTGCGTCATCATATGACCACACCCAATTTTACAACTTTTTTGCAGTGGTCATTAAGTGAACGCACTACTCATAAACCAGATTTTTTTAGGGGGCGGGGCTGTCAGCTATCGGAACTTCAAATCTGGGTTGTAAATACCTTTTGGGGGTTTTGTTGTAAACTGGAACAGCCGCTAAGTGACTGGTCGTAAGTCAGGGACCACCTGTGTGCCTGGTCTCCTGAGCCAAGGTTAATCAGAGGAGGGCCTTTTGTTATCTGGCCCTTTTCCTTTACAGTAGAGATTCTCCGATCCTCCCCAAAGCTTTCATTCTTGGATCGCTTTGCGGAATGAGAGTTGACAAAGTCCAGGGATTTCTCAAACTCTCTTTTGAGTCAGGAGGTTTAGGAACTTCGTGCCTCTGAAAGTGGCTGACAGTTGAGGATGTTGCACTTCCTGTCAAATGCCATGTTTCATGGCTTATCCACACATTCTGCAGCTGCACGGAATGGATTTGAAATAACTTAAACAGCTGATCGAGTCTGACCTCTCACCGGCTTGTGCCTGGGCGCTCCAAGAAAGAGGGCACCACTGGGATCCACAAACCTTTCAGATTCCTGCATGTCTGTTTATCTCTTGAACAAACAGCAGTTGCGATGTTTACATAATGCATTAATTTTCCCCTAATTATTTTGTGGCTTCTGAATGCTCTTCTTCCCCCACAGGCCAACCAATTCATTACATATTCTCCAAAACATCTTGAAGAAAGTGGCTGGGTACGTATGTGGCTTCCTCTGTTCCTTCTTTCTTTCTTTGTGTTGTGCGTAACAAACGATTTAAACTAAGGAGAGATCCAGGACTCCAGGATCCAGTGCTGGGAAGCTCGTAGCCAACACTTGGAACTTGGGATAAGGAGGAAAGATCCGAATCAGGTCTGGATCATCATCCTCGCACACGTTCAAAACCGCATGATCCGGTGACAAGGTGCGAAGGAGGCAGTTTGTGTCTGACAGAGCCAGGGGGAGCAGACTGACTGATCGATCAATTTTCATTTTCATTTCTGTATCTGCCCATCTCAGCAAAAGACTCTGGGCGGCTCACAAATCAAAATGTACGTTAACAATTAAAATTTAAAAAACATATTAAAACAATAAAAACAGTAAGAAGCATTAAAACAGTAAAAAAAAAACATTAAAATATCTAATTCAAGGTGCATCCAAAAGCGAGCTACCTGGCCCATTAACTGTGCAGCCGGGAGGCAGGGCCCTTGGCCCACGCAGCACCACAGGGTCAGGAGCCGAGCCAGGGTTTTGGAGCTTTATGGAAGGGTTGGGGCCACTGTGGCCTCCGAAGGAAGGACGTTCCACAGAAAGGGCCGCTGCAGAAAAGGGCCTGCGGATTTGGCATCGGTTTGTAATGGCTGTGCTGTTGTCAGCTTGCAGGAAGGCTCTTACCTCTTGGCTCACCTGGCGGGAGACTCCTCAGTGTCCATCTACAAGAGCTCGGACGGAATTTCCACTCGGGCAATGTACAACCTGCACGCTGCTCACGCCGGCCTGCCGCCCACCCCGGCTGCCCTCTCTGTGCCCTGGGTCCCCCTCGACCCCAACCTCCCTCTGCCGCATCACTTTGCTCAGGGCCGCGTCCCCTGCACTTTCCCACCGATGCCGGATGAGGGTGCCAGGAAGTGGAAGGTGAGAAAGGATCATTTGGGAGAACCCTTTGGAGTTTAGCCACCCCACGTGAGAATGGGGTTCCACTTTTTATTATAACACCTTTCCCACAGATGTTACTTTTCGAAACGGGCCTCTTTATCATCCTTCAAAGTAATTCTGGAAGACATTTGAATACTTCCGTCAGGAGTTCTGCAAATAGGGATGAGGGAGAAATCTTAGAGCAGGGGTCTCCAGCCTGGGCCACTTTAAGACTTGTGGACCTCAACTCCCAGAATTCCTCAGCCAAGTTGCCAAGGCTGGAGACCCCTCTCCTAGAGGTTCAGGAAGGGGGGTGCAGATAATACCGCCCGAGCGATACAGAAGCCCTCACTGCCCTGCGTAGCTCCTTCAGAACAATATCATGTATGCACAGCGACCATATTTTCATGGAGCACAAACCTACAAAAGGGGCAACTCTGAAAGAGGTTCGTAAGGATAAAAATAAACACATTTTTACCACTTTGCAAAGGAAAATTCAAGAACAAAGCCAAGAAAATAACTAACTCAAGAGGACTGTTTTTTCTGAAATACAGGGTTGTCCTTTACAATAAGGGCTGTGTTGTCACTGTACGCATAATTAACTTAATCGGGGTGGATTGTTTTCACTGAGGAGCAGAACAGCAAAAGGGAAAAGGTTTCCCGGGATTCAGGGTGACTGCACTTTAACCAATTCTGGCAGGAACTTAAGCTCCCCAGCTTTCACCCACTTTGAAGCTGTTCCCTCTTTCTCCCCCCTTTCTGACTCCTAGATGAGCAGGACCAAAGCTTTCTCCGCCACACCCAGCCCCCGAGGGCCAGTCTCCATGGAAGCCAGGGTCGGTTCCCTGCAGGCTGAGCCCCCAAGAAAGAAGCCTGGGACTGCGCAGAACAAGGGCTCCAGGCCAGAAAATCAAGGCCCAAACCGGAAATTCTGGAAAAAGAAGCGCACCAACCGAGGCCACATGACTTAGTTGTCAGCGGGAACGGCAGTCTTTCTCGGCAAAAAAGCTTCTTCAGTGAACGAAGAAGGTGGTGGGCAACTCCATCAGGCCGGGCAGAGTGGCCAGGAAACCTTTCCGCGTCTCCGGTACTTAAGGGGAGCATCGGAGGAGTTTCTCCTGCGCTGAGAGTCTACGGAGAGTCTCTGTCGTCCAGGTCCTGGTTGTCCCAAAGGTGCTTTTTCAGGAGGCAGCTGGACTTCCTTGTTTTTCTTTGAAGACGTTTCGCTTCTCATCCAAGAGGTTTCTTCAGCTCTGACCGGATGGTGGAGGATGGAAGTCAGTCAGAGCTGAAGAAGCTTCTTGGATGAGAAGTGAAACGTCTTCAAAGAAAGCCTCCTGCACTGAAAGTGCATGAAGCAACCCGGGAAGGAGAGCAGCCAACTCTGAACCATCAGAACTGCTTTTATGTTGCCGTCTGTTCCCAGTAACGTTACTGGGTGAAAACCAAGCCCCACGTAGATTTCTGTTAAAATGGGCAGTTCTACTCTTTTTTTGGGCAGCTGGGGCGGAGGTGGAAGAGAACAGATCTTAGTTTGAGTTTCCCTTTAAAACTGCCCTTTTCTGCAGGTTGCAGGAATGTCGGGAAACGCCCACAGTTTTTAAATTTAAATATAGTTTTTTAGAGTTGTTAAGGGTCTCCCAAGGCTCCTCCCTTGGTCCTCAGGCACAGGCCATCACCCGAAGACCAAATGCATTTGGATGTTTTGAGGGTTTAAAACGGGCGCCCAGCCTTAGCAACTTTAAGACCTGTGGACTTCAATTTATTTATTTTCTTTTTCACGGTCAAACTGAGTGCTGTGCTGGCCTTGTGCGTGGGTGTATTTGTCTTTTTAAAATACAGTTAAAATTCCCTATTTGCTGATTTCTGATTTCTTTTTTTTTTTCCTTTTTTTTTGGGAGCGTGGATTTGAATTTTGCTTGGGCTTTTGTACAATGGCTTGTATGCACGTTGTCACTTGGCATCATTTTGTACTCCAAACTAATTAACGTTGAAGTCTGTGGTTGCACGGCCGTAGTTGTGTAGTGCTCCTGCCCCAGGCGAGACCAAGATGAAGTGGGGCAGGGCAGGGCAGCCTTGATGTCACGGCACAGAAATGTTTTCTGCCAAAGTACAGCCATGTTTTTGCAAAGTTACACCCGGTTGTGTCTGAGACATCAGCCCACCTGTCCCATTCCAGGCACTGAAGCTTTCAGATATTTTGTTGTTGTTGTTGTTGTGGGTGTTTCTGGGCTGATCTTTATTTTTTTTTAGGCACGATTTGTTTCTGCTAAATGCACTGCTTTATCCAAGAAAGAACGTGGTTTCAGTTCAGTTTCTATCACCGCATACACACGTAATGCTCTCCTAGTTCCCGAAGAGCCGAAAGTTTTTATCTAGTTGCCACAACAAACCGTGTCTCCTCTTTGTTTCTGCAGTCTGCTAGGGTTGGCTGGTTTTAATGACAAGGTAAAGCCTTTGGGTTGCAGTGTTGCTAAACACCAAGTTTTCTTTCAAAATCCAGTCTGACCTCCCACAGGGAAAATGTTTCCGAGATGAGTCATGCACCAAAATCGGGTGGGGTCCCGAAGCTTTGCCTGGCTCCGAAAGAGAGATTAAAAAATATGCTTGACAACAGAGGAGATATCTGTAAGGCTTTTCCTCTGAACTCGGCCTCTGCAATTAAGGTCCAGGGTTCCTATTAAGCGAGCTGCGGCGAGACAAATCTCTTAAAAGTGGCTGCAACTTCTTTGCTGCTTGGGGATACAGCTGTTTTAAGGGAAATTTGGTGTCTGCTGAGCCCTGCTTTGGCCAGCTGGTTGGGTTTTCCGGGTAGCTGAATGAGTGCTTTAACTTGGCACCTTTTTATACTGTGTTAAAAAGAGGTGAATTCTGCATTTGGAAGTTTTGAGGGTTTGAAATAAGGGTGTCCAATCTTAGCAACTTTACGTCCTCTGGATTTCAACTCTCAGAATTTCCCACAGGTCTTAAAATTGTGCCACGGATGGGTACCACTGGTTTAAAAGAATTTAACTTCAGATTTGCAATTTTTCTATCAATTACTATTTCAGTTAGTCTTGTCAAGCTGTTACAGTGGCCCCGTACAGGAGGATAAGCTTAAGTCTGTTTTATTTTCAGGATATGTACACCCACCGTAAGATTGAACCCGTATTCTGATTGGGAAATCGGTTTGCTTCAGTTTGGCTCTGAATCTGAGTGGGGATCGGCTGACGTCTGTCCCAATCCAAAGCAAAGTTCAGAAATTCACACTTCCCTTTTAACTCTCCACAGGAAATCCACAAACGGCTGTAATTTGGTTTTTCTACTATAGAAAAATAATGTGCGATTTGCAGGCCCCGGAGACGTTCCCCAAAGAAGCCCTGGCTCTTTCATTCATTCATTCATTCATTCATTCATTCATTCATTCATTCATTCATTCCCCTGTGTGTGTAATAAAATAAAAATATAGGTAGTCCCTGACTTTGTCCAATGAACATTCAGATTTACAATGGCACCGGGGGGGGGGGGGAAGGTGACTCATGAACAGCCTTTGCACTTAATGACCGTCGCAGAGTCCCCGTGGTCACATGACCAAACTTCGGGCACTTCGCTACTGGTACGTATTTACCATCCAAGGTCATCGAATTGCTATTGGTGACATTCTCAAGGGGGGCCCTCCTCAAGCAAAGTCAGTGGGGGGAGCCCCAGGTGGTGATTTGCTTAGCGACCGCAGCAAAAAAAAAAAAAAGGTAAAATCAAGTGCAACTCACTTAGCGACGGAGGTCGTGGTCCAAAGTCAAGGACTATCTGTAAATCCTCCTGGCCCACTGGCTAATGCCTCACCAAACAGCTTCCCCTCTTCGATGGTATTGCATTTGACCCAGAAGTGGGCAAGGGCGGCCCTGCACGTCTCCTCCCTGCAGCAGTGCAGCCGGTGCGACGTCACTGCATCCAAAGCTCACCTGGCCCCACCTTGCAGCCAAGCCGGTGATGCAGGCAGCGGAGGGCTTCTGCGAGAGACAAGTCACGGCCGGGCATTGTTACACCGCGGGAGACCTTGGACTTGTGCCTCCCCACGTGGCCTGCAAATCCTCCAGGAGCTTTTGTGTTGCTCTCTGCTGCTTAGACTGGGATGATCTGTCCATCGGTGCTGCTTGCTGAAGCCCCTGGACAGGGCTCTTGTACCCAACACAAGCAGGACTTCACGAAGGCCGAGTGCGGATTGTCGTCCCTCAAGGGTTTAGCCCAGCCTGCTGCTTTGGCTGAGCAAGGGGTGGGGAGGCTGGTCCCAGAGGGGAGCCCCTGGTTCCCCCACCCGCCCAATTAATTTATCCTTCACTTCTTGGAGCAAAGTGAATCAAGCTCCTTTTCTGCTCTTGTTCTACTTCCAGCTGGCCTCTTTTTGAGGTGCTGGTGCACCTTCACCAAGTCCTGCCTGTTGGAATTGCAGCAAGAAAGGGAGATTATATTTTTGCATCTGTTTAGGGGCAGCTGACTGTTAGTTTTGTGGTCCTGGCCATCTTTGGCATGGGGGAGCCCCCTTTTCCATCACCGAGGCCGGCTGATCACCGCGTTCCGCTCGGTCTTGGCTAGATCCATGCCTTGTAGTAGCTGTGTTTGACTCCCGTTTCCATCCTGCTCAGCCAACAAGGTTACTGGGGTAAATGTATGAGAAGCAGGGTGCTATTTAAAGCATAATTGCTCATGAGAGAGAGAAAAAACCTGATCTTGTCTCCTCCAGCTTCGTTTCTGATTTGATTGGTCCGCTGCCCACCTGAAGGATGGGCTATGCGGTCAGCTGAATTAATCAATAATGCCTGTGAGGAGCTCAGTATTGACCCTGGTGGATCAATATTGCTAATGGGTTTTCTCCGACGCTCTTCCGAAACCAGCTGGCTCTCGGGTCTGGAGCCAGCAGTCTGGTTCATGCCTGCACATGCCTGCCAGCTCCCTGGGAACATTGAATTCCTGCCTTCCTTTCCGCTGGATTATGGGCACGCCATCTTTCCAGCGAACGTGCTGTGGCTTGCAAGGTCTTAGCTGGGACCTTTGATACCCAGCCACGGATCCCTTCATCAGCAGACTGTCTCAGAGCCAAGAAGGAGACTTCCGATATACTGGGGGAAAAGCAAACCCCACGCAAAATGGTTCCCTCTCCTTTACTGCAGTTTAGGGCAGGGGGGACAGAGTCAGGAGAGAGAGGAGCTGGAGGGGTGGGTCGTGTGTCTTCATAGCCAGGCCCTGGAGTAAGAATGGGGGTAGGCCTCAGCTTATGATCACACTCAATTTTATAATGGCTGGCCGGACAGCAGTGAGTCAGAGGAGAGTCCGGCTCTGCAGGGCTCTCCCCTTGGCCCGGAGTGGGTGGGGAGCTGGACTCTGCTGATCTTCCTCTCACCTCCAGCTCCTGTTTTCTCTGGCAAGCAGGAGGGGAAAGCTGGAAGTGGCAGGTCTGCAAAACAAGGACTTTTTGTTCTCCAAAATTGTTCTCTGCTCCCCAAGCAGCCTTCCTGGCCTGAAGCCGTCCCCAACTCCTCCTGGCCTTGCATGGGGCTCCTAAGCTGCCCAGAGTCACTTCGGTGAGACAGTAGCAATGTAAGTTGCATCAATCAGTCAGTAGTCAAAGTGGCGGTTCTGAACTCTTCCAAACACTCCTGATCTGGGTGGAGGGGAGGGTGGGCGGGAAGACCCTTCCTGTGTATAGACAGGAATTGGTTGATCTGTTTGCTGGGTGATTGGATGTTTTGCAGTTTTCTTACATTTTGCCAGCCATGATTTGATGGCACCGAGTAATCGTGTCTGGCAGTCAAAACATTGAAAATCAGGATTCTCCTCCTCCCCCCCAAATACCAGGGGTTGTTTCCTCCCTCCCCTCTTGTTTTTTTCCCCACGTAGTTTCCTTTTTAAGTGAGTCAGGAAACAGGTATGGCTGGACTTTGGGTAAAATTCTAGCCACGCCTGTTTTCTTATTCATTGTTGACTCACACTTCATTCATCCCTTTGCACCAAGCAGTTGTTGTTTTATTTCCCTTTTGTGGGTGCATCCAAGGCAATGTCTCAATGCAGACGGTTCAGCAGGAGTTAATGATTGGCCAAAGCCTGCAGATCTTAATTCTGAAATGTTCCATAATTGGCCGAGTGGAAGAGTCCTCAATTGGCCGGTGCCTTAAGCAAGGTTTAACTCCACTTTACCCTCGAAGGCTGAGGTCTTCTGAATACACATCTCTGGCCCTGTTGCAATCCCCAATATGTTTAATAAAGACTTAAAGTTCTTTCTTTGGTTGAGCTGGAATCGTTTCTGATAACTTGCTCTTTGTAGGAATAATATTTGCCTAGGTAATTTTATGCGTAAAATTCAGTGCATTAAACAGAATAACGTTTGCTGTAGCATTGATTTATCTTGTTTTAAGTGCAGTTGCATCTTACGTCTTAAGTCTTCTTTCAAACTTCTTAACAAAGATAGATTTGTCTTTCCAGTGCTTTTCCAGCACTAACAAGCCCTCAGTAAAACCAACAACCAAACATTATAGTAACAATATAAACAGCAGGAGTAACAGCAGATCATGGACTTAGTTAGAAAAAGTACTAAACCGGCCAGATTCGGCAAAACTAACCTCGGATGTGTAGCGCAGCACTAACCGGGTGGAATGGAAGAGTTCTTTCTGGTTGCCCTTCTCCCCACAGGCTATGTTTTGAGGGCAAAAGTGGAGTAATTGTGTAACCACAACAGATGCCCAGATACACAGCAACATTCCATTGGTATTGTGTAATAAAATGGGCATTGAGTGAAATCTTGTTCAAGTTCAGCATTCAAACATGATGCTGCATAACAGCTGTTCATCTCTATTGGGAACTGCCCAATTCAGCAGCCTGGAATATTTGTCCAAATTCAGGGGACGCACAGAGGCTTCCTAGCCTGCGCCTTTGGACACCTTTTAATTGTGTGATATTTTGATCGTGTAATGCACTAGAACCACTTTGCACCCCAGTGATTTCTTCTGGAAGATGGTTGGGTGGAAAAGCCTTAACGCCTGGGTGAAGAGGCCTAGGGCTGGACCCTGCTGTCCCGATTCCTGCTCTTGAAATGCAGTTCATCCAGTGGTGATGGCACCAGGCTAGAAAGCAGGAGGTTGTGAGTTCAAGTCCCGCCTTACAACGAAAACCATCTGGGTGACTTTGGGCCAGTCCCTCTCTCTCAGCCCAACCCACCTCAGGGTGGTTGTGGTAGGGAAAATAGGAAGGTTTGTTGGATATGTTCACTGCCTTGAGCTGTTGCACACATAATAAAGGCAGGATACAAATAGAAATAGATACAGGGGAGAATATGCTGAAAAGGAAGTTACATCAATGTAGTTAAGACCAAAGTGGGTTTGTAACATTCCTGTTCCTGTTTCCATTCCAGGAGCATTTCTCTCTCTCTCCCTCCCTCCCCCACTTCCAGAGATACTAGATGCTCTTTTGCACAGGATTAAACAGAGCAAACAAAATTCTCCATTGATGCGTACCAGGGCAGGAATGCAGGCTTAGATAGGAGAGTCTTAAGGCAAAGCACTCCTCTGAAGGATGAGCTGCTTAGTAATCAGCGCCCTGAATAGCATCCCTGCTCCTGCTCCTCGATCTGGTTGACAACAAGCCAACAACAAGCCAATTTCATCGCAGTTTCAACCTCATGAAGATTAGGGTTCGGACCTTTGTCAGCTCAAAACGGATCCCTTTCAAAATAGCACCAGAGGTTTAAAAACAAAGAGAAGAAGTTGCCTAGATTCCCAAACATGAAATATTTCACGTTGCATGAATATCATGCACAAATTTTACATTTTTGAGCACCAGCTAAGGATAATAGAATTCTTCATCTTGGAAAAGGTTAAATCAAGACAAGATGGTTAAACAGCCTTCCAATGCAGCTCCCCCATCCGAATAACAGTTGGAAGGGACTTAAGAGGTCTTCTAGTCTAACCTCCTGCTCAAGCAGGAGGAAAAATAGATTTGAAAAAAATCAGTTGCTCTGGAGGATTTTGATTGCAGGGAAAGTGAAATTAAATACTTCCTTTTGTTCTAGTGACTGTTCCAAAGAAACTAACAGGCCTGCTCTTTGCAAGTTGGTTAAATACAAAATGCAGAAAAGAGCAATAAAACCAGAAAAGAAACAATAAGCTATTTTAGATGTCAGTGTGAACTTTACATCACAGTTTATGTTCCCTCCCCTTTTCTGATGTATCAGGTCTCTTGGACAATGATTAACCTTTGAGTAGTTGAACAGCACTTAGAAAATTGGAGGGAGTTGATGTTTTTAATCCAGCTGGTTGCATTTTGGGCCTCTGGAGGAGATGGGGAGGGGGTCTGTGAAATAGGCAGGCAGGCAGGCAGTTGGAAGGCTGCAAGAGTCAAACAAGTGAGAAAGGGCTGATGGGATCTTGAGTTCCCCCCCCCCATTTGGCCACCATCTCATCTCTGGGAGATTTAAAGTCTACCCGTCTTACTGTTGCTGAGGTGGAGCAATGTTGATCTCATTGCTGGGCAAAAAATTCTCAAAAGGGCCATGAAAAAAATGTTTGGTTTTAGAAGCTTCCAGCCTCCAATCAACTTAGCCTGCGAAGCCCCCTTGCTTCTGCAGGAGAAGGCTGGCTTCACCCAGGCCATACCAGGTGGCCATGATGCCATCTGCCAGCTTGGTTGGGTGCCAACCCAGTCTGGATTCAAAAGTCAAGCCTGGTTGGACCTTGGAGGGGAGATGCCCAAAGGACGGTCCATCGCCTTTCCATTTCAGCTAAGAAAACTTTACAGATGTATCCCTCAAGTCATCTCATCTGGGAGGAACGCTCAAACCCAGTTGGGTTTTGGTGAGATCTCACTCGGTGACCTTCAGGCAAGTCACACTGGCAGAAACCAGCTTTTATTTTCACCTCACTTCTGACCAAGGTTTGCTGGTGGACTTGGTCAGAGAGGGAGATGAGGAAGTGCTGGGATTCTTCTTGCTCCTCCTTGAGTTGAAGACTTCTCCAATTCATTGAGTTGCCCCCATGGGCCTGCCCCAGAAGAAGCTGGCTGAGGTCTCCAGAGGCTGGACCTTATCCCCTGCTGGGGTCTGACCCTTTGCACCGGAGAAGGTCGCTTAGCCGGCAAGAGAGGCCCTCGGCCCCTCCCCCTCCCCAGGGCAGTTCTTTGACACTTGGGGCAACTGAGGCAGGGTCCTCTGGCGGAACCGGGGCTTGCATCGCCCCAGCAAAGGGACCGGGCAGCGCTGCTCTCGCGCCGCGTCTAATGCGACATTGGCGCGTGGGGGAGGGCAACTGCCCCGCAGAAGCGGCTGTTGCCCCGTAGGACCCCTCGCGGCCCGCACCCCCGCCTCTCGGGACCCCAGGACGGGCCCAGCGACGGCTCGGGGGCGCGGCGCCTCCAGCCTCCCCCGCGGCTCCGCGCCAGCTGCGCCAGGCCCCCTCCCGTCCCGGCGGGGCTGAGTCAGAGGCGGCGGCCGGGCCGGGCTTGGCCTCCGTCAAGGCGGGCGGGGACTGGGAGGCAGCCCGGCTACAAAAGGGCCGTCCGGGCGCCGCCCGCTCTTGCTAGGCCGGCCGGCGCTCGGAGTCTGCAGCCCCGCCCGGTAAGTCCCGTCCGCTGCTCCTCTGCAGCGGCGGCGGCCACAGCCCCGCTTTACCCCCCCCTCCACTCTCCCCAGCCGGCAGTCCCCCCCCGAGGGTCGCGCTGCGCCCCCCCCTCTTCTCCCAGCCGGCGTCGGGCGCAGCTGATGCCCGTCGGTGCCGGGCGTTGTTCGGGGCGCCGCGTTGGAGGAAGCCGCTCGGGGTCTCCGGGGTCTTGCAAGGATTCCGGGGAGCCCTTGGGGGCGGGGCAGGGGGGAGTTCATGAGACCCCCGGCTGCTCTTTGTTTCGGGAGTCTCTTCTCCGGGGCTGCTTTTCCCCGTCGGAGAAAGCGCGGAGCGGCGTTTGCTTTTTGCAACGCCCCCCCCCCTTGGTTAGGGGCTGGATCTGATCAGGAATTCCCCTCCTGGGACCCTTCCTGCAGGAGGGAGACGCCCCCGCCTCTCTTTCTCCGTGGCTCCTTCGTGCCCCCTTTAGGGGCTACACCCGTCGCTTCGGCTGGCAAGAGGGTGAGGCTGAAGTCCTGTCTAAGTCGGTAGCCTGCCTGGGGCTGCGTGCATCAGAACGGGGTGGGGGTGAAAACAGCCCCCCTCCCCAAACCTGTAGAAGAAGCAGGCGGCTTGAAGCCCCTTTCGTGTCCCGGAGCCTCCTCGGAGCCCCTCATAACCTCCTCTGGGGGGGGGGAGTGGAGGGCCAGACCCCTTCGCCTCGCCCGCTTGCCAACCGAAGGCAGTGGAGGAAATCTGTGTGTGATTTGTGTGTGTGTGGATTGGACTAAGGAGGACACAAAAGCTTTCCTCAAACTCCCCCAAGAGGAGCCAGGGTGGTTGCAGAGCTGTTGCGATGGACCCCCTTAGTAAGGCCTGCTTATGTCCCCCACCCCACCCCAATTTGCCCAGCCCGGCGCTTCTCTCTGCCAACTGCAGCAGTGATGCCTCTCCTCTCTCGGGTGTGGCTCTGCGGGGGGGGGGGGCTGGACGCCGTTTCTGTGACGTCATCCAGTGTGATTCTCCCTCCCGTCCCCTCCCCCTCCCCAGCTGGCATGTTTCAACAAGCAATGCGGTAGGAGCTGTTGAGCAAAGCGGGCGCCACGCCCTGTGCTTGGCTCGGGTTTGCCAAACGTCTGGAGGGGGGGAGGAGGAGGAGGGGGCATTTGCAGGGTGAGGGCGGGCGGAATGAAGACACCCCCCCATCTGCGACTCTCACCCTGATTCAGCCGCATCCTCCCACCTCTTGCCAGACTCTGCAATGGGTGGCTTCGTCTGGGGGCCCTTGAATGTAAATATGGTTTATTGTCCTGTGACATGTTTTAGGAGAGAAAATGGAGCTTGTTGCACAACAAGAAGCTCTCCTTGTTATTTGAACAAAGAGGCAGTGTAGGGACCGCACGATGGGACCGACCAGCTTTGGATCAACATTTGCTGCAAAACTGTTGGCCAAACTCTTGGCTTAATCTACTTTGAAAGACTGGGTATCTCCTCTTAAGCAGCTGGTAAACATCAAAAATGTCAGAGGGTATACAAAAGCTGCCTAGCCCCTAAAAATATTGTGGACTAGCACCTTTGCAATCTTGTTTGCAAGTTCTGACAACAGAGATGTAGTTCTTTGCACCTCAACCTGGGAATGGAATCGGGACTATATCTGTGGGGCTTTGATTTTGGAAAGTTCCTGATTGCTTCTCGGGTTGTCTCAGATATGGACGGGCATGAAAAAGAACCTCTGATTCTTCTGAGCATCCCTCTTGATTGACCGTGTTGCTGCCACAGCTGAAGAGCCGCTGAGCTGCAATAAAATGGGCCTTGACCGAGCCTGCTGAGGTCTTCAGCTCAGTAAATCTGTTTGCTATTACGCATAAATGTGTTTGTTATTAAAAGAGGCCCGATGGGCTGCAGCCAGGACGTTCTCCAGCGTGTTTGCAAATGGGTTGGCAGCCCCATCTCTGAGGGCCTCTTGGACTGGGGGAGGGGAAGAAATTCCACCAGGCAGTGAAGCAAAAGTGGTGTAGCATAGGGAATAGTGTATCAGATGACAGCTATGGAGACCTGGGTTCGAAGGCCTGGTGTGGAATGGACTCTGTTGAATTGGCACCACCATTACTGGAGGTTCCCAAGAAGACTGGACAGGCATTGTTCTGGAATGGTCTAGGGCAGGGGTCTCCAAACTTGGCCACTTTAAGACTTGTGGACTTCAACTCCCAGAATTCCTCAGCCAGCCATGGGAATTCTGGGAATTAAAGTCCACAAGTTGCCAAGTTTGGAGACCCCTGGTATAGAATCTCCTGCCTAAACAGAGGGTTGCACTAGAAGATCTCCAAGGTCCCTTCCAACTCTTTATTCTGAATTTACTGTGGCGCTGCACAATGTTTGGTTTTGAATACACTGTCTGATTTTATGGGGTTGGGGGGAAAATGCGGCCCTTGAATAGGTTTTCCTTAACTTCCTCCCCCCCTTCCTAGTGAAGGAAACATCTGTAGCTGTGGATGATGGCCTCTTCCTGCAGATCCTTCCCTCCCTGGCTTTTCCAGAGCTTTCTCTCCCCTGCACCCTGCCTGCATTCCTGCCCAGCCACACCCAGGTTTCCTTCCAAGCCAGGAATCTGGCTCAGGGTTTGCAGCCCCTCCTTGGCAAGAGGAGAGCCCCCTCCCCTTTTTTTCACCTGCCAGGCAACTGCTGCACCTCCCTCAGGGAGCGGCCAGGGGCCATGGCAGCCATCCCGGCCGGGAGTCTCTGTGTCTGCGCAAAGCCAGCTTAGCTCCTGGCCCAGCATGGGGGAAGTTCTGGCTGTGAACCGGCTGGTAGGATAAATTTAAAGGATATTTTTTTTATTTAGCTGCAAAGGCTTCTTGGTGCATCGAACAGCAGTTATTAAGGTCGTTGTGTTTCTCAACCTTATCAACTTGAAGATGGTTGGACTTCGACTTCCAGAATTCCCCAGCCAGCTTGGCTGGCTGGGGAATTCTGGGAGTTGAAGTCCAGCCATCTTCAAGTTGAATTCTGGGAGTTGAAGTCCGACTATCCTAAAGTTGCCAAGCTTGAGAAACCTTGCTTTAGGGTCCACTGAACCCGCACTCCAGATCCATCTCTCTGCTCAAACATATTTCGAATTTTCTTAATTCCTGCTGGGCACCAGCATCCTAACCTACCTCGCAGGGCTGTTGCAGACCTACCTTTCACCGGAAAGCTTTCATTTTATCCGGAAAGTAAGAGGGACGTCTCTGCTCCGGATCAAAGCATTTGTTTTCCGAGCATTTTGATATTAAATTCTGTAACTCCCAACAACCACTAACCTCTTGGCACTGTCTTTGGCCCTTGCTGGCTGAGGATTATGGGAACAGAAGTCCAGCTCCTTCTCAAGTTGGAAAAGACTGCACAGATAAGGCCAGCCTTCTGCCTTGAAGCAATCCATGGGAGATATCTAACACAAGATAATTCACTCTGGGGTTGGAACAGACCCAAATGTTGCCTGCTGTGTAAGCATCTTGTGCCTAATTGTGCTGAGCACACAACTCAGCCTTTCATTCCCGCTCTCAGGAGTAGCTGGGATTTGATCCCCTTTGCTATTTTGTCATGCCAGCACACAGCAAGAACAAGTCTCTACAGTTCCCTTTGGAGCCCTTTAATTTCCAAGCTGCAGTCAGCCAGCATTCGCTGTGACTGAGGCCAAACAACCAAAACCCCGAAGAAAGCTGGGTTTAAAGTCCCAAAGGTGTTTTTTCAAAAGGCAACTGGACTTTCGCTTCTCATCCAAGAAGCTTCTTCCGTTCTAAAGAAGCCTCAGTTCTGAAGAAGCTTCTTGGATGAGAAGCCGAACGTCTTCAAGGAAAAAACAAAGTCGGGTTGCCTTTTGAAAAAGCACCTTTGGGACAGCTGTGACCTGGGTGACATCTGGGTTTAAAATATGCCTTTTTGCTGGAGCTAGTGGGAAGCGGTGCTTTTAACATGCAAGACGTCGGTTGTGTGAATTCAAAAACCTTTTTTCCCCCCCTTGTGGAGGTGAGGGAAACAGTGACGGGGGAGAAAGTCGGATCTGGGAACGACGCTTAGGGAAAGGAACGGGTTACCTCTTTCAAGCTGCTGAACCAACGCGCCTCCATGAGGACTAGAATGTTCTCCTGGCTGGAAACGCCCAGATTCTGCAGCAACAACGCAACTACACCGCGTTACGGCAGTTCTCACCTGTGAGGAGCCCCGCCACGTAGCTGAACCCTGGCGAGCTTTTCTCCCCCGATCAAAGATCGCTCTCCGGCGGAGAGATCCTTGCAGGATTCCCTCTGGATGACGCATCTCCCCCACCCCGTCCTCGCCTTGGCTTCCCTCCGGTTGGCCCTGCTGGGTCCGGGGGCGGCTCAGCGGGACCCGCCCGGTCTTCCAGCGGCCGCTTGGCCCGTGTTGCACGCGTGGGGGAGGGGGCCCGGGTGGGTGCGTTTCCGAAAGGCGTCCCTTGGATTCCGTCCTCTCCCTCCCTCCCCTCCAAAACCTTTTCGCGGCCGGAGCCCCGTGGCGGCTGCTTTCCCCAGATGTTGAGCCTGTACTTGAAGATCAAGAGCGCTGCGAAGCTGGTGGAGGTCATAATATCGAGGCGCGTCCATTTGACGAGGATTAAAGAGCAGACCTGGGACTTCTCTGGGTCCTAGCAAGGAGGTTGCTACAGGGTGTAGCTCATTTTGAGAAGAGAGAGGGGAGGAAGGGGTTAGGGATACTCTGGTGAGCGCTATGGAGCTTCCAAGGTAGGAGGCAGTATACCTGTGAATATGGTTGCCAGCAGAGAAAGGGCAAAAAGGACAGCTCTTCTCATTGGGTTAAAATAGCATTTCTCAACCTTGGCAACTTTAAGGTTGGGTGGACTTCAACTCCCAGAATCCCCCAGCCACCTTTGCTGGCTGGGGGATTCTGGGAGTTGAAGTCCACCTATCTTAAAGTTGCCAAGGTTGAGAATCACTGGAGACTCTGGAGACCCCCATCATGGGTTGCTCAACCTCAGGACATGAAGGCGTTGATGAGAAGCCCAACTCAATGGACGTGTTGCTGTATCCTGACCTGTGCTATTCCCAAACTCTCCTGGCCATCCTAGGGACTAGAAACATGGGGGTCCGTGGGTTTGAAGCTACTTAGGAAGTGATGCCCTCTTTTTAGCCTCACGTAACCAAAGCGCTCTCTCTTTCCCACATTTCCAACTGCCCAGAGTTCACATCCCACGCCCTTCTGCCTTCCCTGTTATTGGGAGATTCCTCCCCCCCCCCAGTCCTGCATGTGAGGGGAAGTGAGTAATGTGCTTGCCGGTCCCTTGGCTAAACGTCTGAGTGTCCCTGATCCCTAGGATTGTTCTGCAGCTTTGGGAAGATGGTGAGCTGCCAGGGTTGGACTGGATGACCTCAAAGTGTCTGCTTTGGAGTTCTTCAGATCTTTCTTTTCATGACTGGGTGTTTCAATCGGAGCAGTGGGTTGTGCCCCTTCTAGGGGTTTCTCTGACCCCTCCTGGATTTTGCAAGTTGGCTGCTTGCCTTGCCTGGGGTGGATTTGAAGAGGAAAGTTTGCGAACAATGGTCTGGTTTTTTGGCTGCATTTGGGGGCGGCAGCTGGAAGATTTCTCTGAGCTGAGGAATTTGGGAATTGCCCCCTACGTGGAAGAGGGAGAGGACCATTGGGCCAGGATCCCACCCTCCAAGGACTACTGCCCTTCCCCCCCCCCAGCCCAGCCCAGCCCAGCCCAGCCCAGCAGCGACAGGATGCTTACAAGTGCTCTGATAGGAGTTGGGGGCAGGGAGGAACAACTTTTCTGAAGCCTGGCCAGGGATGGGAAAGGGCAGGCAGCCCTGCTCCACGGTGGAAGTGGAATCCGTCCGGGCTCTGCAGGATGGAAAACCTTCCTCAGCTTTGCTGGATGGAGGCCCCTGCTCTGCCCTGCAAAATCCCAGTTCCATTTTTTTTTCTTTTGAACCTCAAGATTCTTCCCAATCCTTTCTAAAGAATGTGCATCCTTTTGCTATGTTCAAATAAAATTCCTTCCTTCCTTCCTTCCCTCCTTCTTTTCTTTTTTTCCTTGAAGCCTTCAGAACTGAGGAACAAATGAGGCTGAAGGAATTCTTGGCGAACATTGGCTTCCCCATCCTTGCCCCACCCTTAATAGCTGGCTTGTTAATTGCGCGCTGCTGGCTCCGACTTCCTCACCCTTTCCAAAGTTGTTCAGCAGAGTTTCTTCTGCAGCTTGCAAAAGGCCCCACCTCTTTGAAAAGCCTGCTTCCTTAATTGCACTGTGCCCCTCTTTATGGTGCTTAATTGTATTACCACCTTGGCAATCGAACTTAAACCTTTTGCCCCAAGTCTTCAACGGCAGCAAATGTCCTTTGGGGAGCAAATCCCTAATGGTAGCAAAATGTCTCCTGGTAGGAAATTCCCTGTTTCCTAATTGCAAAGTACTTGGAGTTTCATTTCATAATAGGATGTCTCTGTGGCTGCTCGCCCCTAAGAGAAGAAACCCTCCCCCTCTCCACTTTCCTCCTCCTCCTCCTCCTCCTCCTCCGAATTGCAGTAAGGTTTTCCCTAATTTTGTCTGAAATGTGTAATTGAAAACAAAAACTGGGGCTAATAATTTTTGGGTACTTTTTAAAATCTGCAATTTGAAATTTTAGGTGATAGATTGGCCAGGGAGAACAAACTCTCAAAGTCTGAAAGTTTATGGTTTTCCTTGCTGTATCTGTCAGGATCCAGGATTGGCTCTGTTGGGCCAGCTGGAGACAAACAAAGCCTTTGTTTGGGAGCTTCGGAAAGGGCAGTGCTGGTGACTACCAAGGACTTCCATTCATCGGCAGGGGGGTGGGCTACAGAATCAGAGGCCCCTTAGGACTTTTTAGGCCAGGCTTGTAAGTCTCAATGCCTCTAGAACAGTGGTGGCGAACCTATGGCACGGGTGCCAGAGGAGGCACTCAGAGCCCTTTCTGTGGGCACGCACGCCATCACCTCAGTCCTAGGCCTTCAGCTGGGTTTTATAAAACCTTTTCGCTTTAGGCCTCCGCTGCCGTTTGCAAAAAAAAAAAAAAAAAAAAGTTCAATCAATCCGTCAATTTCAACTTCTCACGGAAAAAAAAGATCTTGCAAAGTTGGAATTGATTGATTGAACTTTTTAGTCCCACCCAGTCTGCCATTACCACTGCAGCCACGCCCACCCAATGGGCCACACCCACCTAATTGGCCACACCCAGCCAATGGGCCACACCCACCCGGCACCCGACAATGCATAAGTGGGTTTGGGGTTGCAGTTTGGGCACTCGGTCTCTAAAAGGTTCGCCATCACTGCTCTAGAAGTTGAGATGGGTTTTTATGACACCTTCTTTTTTCTGTTTTTTTCCTCCAGCTTCTTGTCAAGATGTCGACTGTCCATGAAATCCTAAGCAAGCTCACCCTGGAGGGGGACGTAAGTATCGTGGCTAGGGGAGAGGGGCTCGCAAAGTCAGCACCTTCCTAAGCATTCTGATGCGCTCTGGACCCGTTGACGATGTCCATTTTGCTCTGTGAATTCATGGGGACCCAACCCTAACCCTAAGTGGATTTGCCCCCCAATGGGGTTTTCCCATGTATTTTCCCAGGCAATGTATTTCTTCCCTTCTCTTTTCTCATGCATCCCCCCTCCCCCCAAAATGAAATGTTGATTTGCATGTTCTAATTATGAACAAATTACCTTGATTGATGGATATCTACTTTTTCTCTTGTTTAAGTGGGCCGGTAGTCTTGCAATCTCCCAAATCATCTTTTCCAGGGCATCACAATTTGCTGAGTGTGCAAAGGGCCATTGAGGGCTCCTTGGTGCTCTCTGTGCTTGGTGGTTTTCTTGCAGGGGTTTCATTACCTAAATATGGTAACTTTATCAGTGCTAGAAGGGAGTGGGGTTTGTGGAGTGAGGGAGAAAGAGAGGAAGAAGAGGACTGTGGGGTCCTGGGTGCTCTCTGAGCTTGATGGTTTTCTTGCAGGTGTTTCATTACCTAAATATGGTAGCATCATCAGTGCTAGTGTCATTAGCCCTGATGATGTTACCTAGTTGGGTCATGAAACGTCTGCAAGGAAACCACCATGCTCAGAGAGCACCCAGGACCCCTCAGTTCAACCTTGAGCTGCAAATAGTCCCCTTTCAAGGGCCATCGAGGGCATTCTCCAGGCAATTAACAGCTTTTGCCCTTGGAGTGGCTGCAACGCTGCTGCTGCCCTTCATGTGTGTGTGTGTGTGTGTGTGTGTGTGTGTGTGTGTGCCATTTTCTCTGCCTTGTGGCAGCCCAGAGGGGAGGCTCCTCTGACCACAGGCCCAGCAGGTTCTCTGCAAAGAGGCTCTCCTGGGGCCGGTGAGCTGTTTCCTTCCCCCCTTCCAAGCTCTTTCCACTCTCTGGTGTTCCAGGCCAAAGAATGTCCTTTGTTTGGAGAGCGGACAGCTTGATTTCGGTGCATTTAACTTTCCCACTCCTTGTTGGTTTTGGCTTCATGAATCAGCGGCTTCTTCAGGGAACTTGCTGGTGCTGCCAAGCCTGGCCTGGGGAGAGGGGAGGTGGCAGGGTGGGCTCTCTGGAGAACACGCCTTTCAGCCCCTTCCAAAGAAAAGCGAAGGTTTTTTCCACAAAGCCGCCCTGGTAGAACCTGCTTTGCAGGCTTGCAAGGGGGGGGGAGCACTCAAAGACCCCCTTTGGAGATCCCTCCCCCTCCTCCCTGGAAGTGGCCTTTGGCAGCCTGAAGTATTTATGACCAAAGTCACTTCTCCTTTTGAGCCCTTTGGGGAAGCGAGACGGGCTTGCTGCATGAACAGTCATCTTCCCCAATCAGGGGCGTGGGACTACAGATCCCATCAGTGTTAACCAGGGCGGTCCTTGCTGCTGGGCCCAAGAGGGGGCTGTAATTCGACCCACCACGAGGGGGCATAAGCATGAGCTGAAAGCGAATCCTTTTCTTGGCAGAAGCCCATCAGTCCAGAGGTTTGTTAATGAGGCGGATTGTCAGGAACTTGAATACAGAACCTGGAGAATTGAGAGAGAGAGAGAGAGAGAGAGAGAGAGATGAAGCCCTCCTGAATTAGGGGATTAAGCGGGGGGGGGGGGGGAAGGCCTCTCTGGAATGTCTTTCCTGCAAGGGTTATATAATAGACAAAAATCTGATTACTTGATTAGCTTCAGTCCACATCTTCCCTCTGTGGATCTGGGGGTTTTGAGATACCCCTCTTCCTTTCTGAGCCTTAGTGAAGCCCTTTCAAATAGGGGCCTCATGCAAGGGTCCTTGCCCCCTCCCCCCATTCTGTGGGTCCCACCATCCTGCTTTGTCCCCATCCACCTTTGGCAGCCTGCTGTTTGCAAATGCCGGATGGATGGAAGGCCTTTGTGCGCCTTGGAGCCCATAAGTGAAGCAGCCCCCAATCCATGGGGGGGGGGAAAGCTGGCAGAGCATCAGCCTCACCCAAGCGGGGGACCTCCAGATGGGTTGATGCCAGCCCCTCTGGAGGGGCACCAGCTATGCAAAGGTGGCCTCACTCCAGGCTTCCTTTCGTGAATGCCCTTTGTCTATTCCCCCCCCCCCGTGAGAGATGAGGGGCTTAGCAGGTCTTCCCATTGATGGCTGCCCTTTTTCTTCCCCCCCAGCACTCCCTGCCCCCCAGCGCCTATGCCACCGTCAAGGCTTATGGGAACTTCGATGCTGATCGCGATGCTCTCACCCTGGAAACTGCCATCAAGACCAAAGGTAGGTGGGAAGGAAGCTCTGCGGAGTTGGGTCCAAAGTCAACCAGGACCGCCGCTGCTTCTCCTGGCTGGGCATGGAGGCAGGATGCGGGGGGGGGGGAGATAAGCTTGGGGTCCCTTCCGCTTCTGAGGGGGCTGGCCAGAGACGGGCGCAGCCCTTGAGCAGCTCTTAAAAACAAAAGGAAGCAGATCTAGATTGCTGGATCTGGTTGCAGAATTGGGGGAGGGGGTGTCTGGGAGAGCCCTGCAGCCAAGAAGGCTTCCAGAGGGGCTTCCAGGACGCCATGGAGGAGAGCGTCCCTGCCCCCACCTGGATTGCCTGAAAGGGTGCGACACACAAGGAAAGGAGAGGGAAGGGGGGGGGAAAAAGCAAATTAGGCATCAGGTGTTTGGACAGCTTTTTAGGCAGCCGGATAGGAGGTTGCGGGTTGGGAAGCAGATGTGTATGTGTGTGTCACAAACAAGTGCCCCCCAAGGGTGGGGTGACCCACAGCTGTCCCAGTCCCCCCTCCCTGCAGTGCAATGCCTCATCCTCAACTGTCTAGGGGGATTCTCCATCGTCCAAGTCCTGGTTGTCCCAAAGCTGCTTTTTCTAGAGGCAACTGGACTTTCTTGGTTTTTTTTCCTTGAAGACGTTTCACTTCTCATCCAAGAAGCTTCTTCAGTTCTGAATGAGAAGTGAAGCATCTTCAAGGAAAAACGGGAAGTCCAGTTGCCTTTTTAAAAAAAGCACTTTGGGGACTTATCCTCAAGTGGCACAAACAATGGCTTGTCTTTGGCTTGTGTTGTTTGGTCATGCTAGGACTTCAGCCACAGTTAGTTGGGCGATGGTGGTGCTGAGCAGAGAGGAATTGGCTGGCCGTAATCCGGGGGTCTCTCTTTGCAAGGCTGAGGGAAGGAAGAGGCCGCCTCCGCTCCTGCCTGCCCTGCCAGAAGGCCTTGGCAGCTGTGAGTCAGCAGCCCACAAATGCTGCATTTTTCCAGCCCCGGAATGCAGCTTCAGCTCCAGTTGGTGAATCTCTCTGAGGCCGTCCCTCCCACAAGGATTGCCCTCTTTTCCCAAGCTCCAGGACCCTCTGGATGCTCCCTCCGGAGAGAAGCCAGGGTTCTTCTTTTCTCCCCACCCTGCGTGCCTGATTTCGGAGTTGGGGAAACCTGATTAAAATGGAGGAAGAAAGGACTTCGGTTCATAGCAGGAACATGCTTTTTATCCTGATGGTTGCGTCTGATGACAATGCATGACACGATCAGCGGAGGAGGGTGGGTTAGGTGGGCTTTTGACCTTTTAAATGGACTCTGGCTGATCTGGAGGATCAGCCTGAGATCCACTCTGTTGCATGGACCAGCTGTGGTTTTCTACCAATTCTGAAAGCCATGGTTTTCGCTCTCTACGTGACTGGTGCACAACCCGGACATTCCTCTTTGCGAAGGCGTGTGGAGGGAGACACGCCTTTATTTCCCCAGCCCAACAAGAACCCCAAGGCTTGGAGTGTTTAAAAGCCAGGCGGTGTCAGAAGGTCACGCAGGCATCACTAAAGGAAAAACTGATGCAAGAAACACAACTTTTGACAAGCTGCTCTTCTTGGCTTTCCTACTCTGCATGCTTTATATAGAATTGAGATTCCCCCCCCCCCTCTGCTTGGGCTATCTCTAAAACTCTGGTTTTCAACCTTGGCAACTTGAAGATGGTTGGACTTCAACACCCAGAATTCCCCAGCCAGCCATGGGAACTGAAGTCCCAGCCTTCAGTTGGCTGTGGAAATCTGGTTGTCGAAATCCACCCATCTAAAAGTTGAATTCTGGGAGCTGAAGTCCACCCACTTTAAAGTGGCCAAGGTTGAAAAACAATGTTATATAGACAGACAGACAGACACAGAAAGAGAGAGACAGACAGACAGAATGGAGGAGAGGTTTGCCTTGAGCTGAGCTGTGGTCTTCTCTCTCTGCAGGTGTGGATGAAGTGACCATTGTCAACCTTTTGACAAACCGCAGCAATGAACAGCGGCAGGATATCGCTTTCGCCTACCAGCGGAGAACAAAGAAGGTACGAAGGCTGGGACTCCAGTTCCCAGAATTCCCTTGGGCGAGGTGGGAAGTTAGCATCAAGTAATTGCATAACCAATTTGCACTTTACTAAACCTGGCTTAGTATGTTATGTGTAAACTACAATTTTGGCTTGTGGGAACCGAGGAGCTTGGAGAGAGCAGAGGTCTGCTAATTCAAAAGGCATCCTAAGTGGCTGGTCTCTCCCTCCGCTATAGGAACTGTCTGCTGCTTTGAAATCTGCCCTCTCCGGCCACCTGGAAGTGGTCATCCTGGGCCTCTTGAAGACGCCGGGACAGTATGACGCCTCTGAGCTGAAGGCAGCCATGAAGGTGAGTGAAATCCTGGTGCTGGGGGGGGGGAGGAGCCCTCTTTCCTCCTACCCCGGTTAAGAGCAAGATGTCTTCTGCTGCCATGGGTGAAACTGGGCTGTCCTTCCTCTCCCACATGTCATTCACTCTGCCCTGCTTGCAAGGATGCTGGTTTATAGGCGCCACCTGCCCAGCCACGGAGGGAGGACCTTTGGGAGTTATGGACATTGGAGTGCACCCATTGGCAGGTTCAGGAAAGAAGATTTGGATGCCCCGGAAGCATCCAAATCTTGGGTGCTCTTGGGACTTCTCTTGGGACCCTCAACGGCATCTATTCCTGAGTGACCAAAGCCAGTTCAATAATACCACCTTGCTGCCCTTTTCCTTTCTGGTGAGGTTCCCTTCGTGGGAATCAGCTGGCAACCGGAGTCATTTGGTTGAGGTGGGCCCTGTAGAAAACAAACAAACAAAAACAAGGGTTAGGATACAGTGCCAGGTAGAGTGCTGGCATTTTCTTTATCCAACACCTCCCTCTAGTGCCCACAACCTGCATTGCAACTTGCATCGGCCATTGTTTTGCCCTGGAGCTTGGAGGAAGGAGCGAGGACTTTTCTTTTAAGAACACAGTAAAAAAAGAAATAACAGAGGGGGGGGGGGGGGAAACAGAATTAAAAAAGATTAACGAGCATTCCAAAATCGAGTAAGTGTTTAACATTAGGTGGGTGCTGCGAATGAAAGCCTGTTAGGTTTCCAGTTTCCTTAGGATTGCAGGACCCAATTCCTGTTGCAAGCAACGGAACCCCTCTCGGTTGATCCGAAGGAAGCGGATCCTGCAATTGCAAGAAAAACACTAGGAAGAAAAAAAAAATAAAGCCAAGTTAGGATGCAACCATTAATCAACAAAACTAGCATTGTGTCAGTCACGAGTTCTTCCAGCTGTCAGGAATGGAGGCAGCCGCTTTCCAAGCCTTGAGCTGGAGGTTTTTCCAGCAATGCCAGGAGGTGGGAGGGTTGAATCGGAGCTTAGTTCAAGCAAGGCCACTGCCTGGCCCTGACTAAGACTTTTCCGAAGGCTTTGCCAGTGATGTGAGTCAGACCGTGATCGCACCATGTGGGTTTTTCTCTTGCACTCCAGGGCCTGGGAACCGACGAAGACACACTCATTGAGATCATCTGCTCACGGACAAACCAGGAACTGGCTGTCATCAACAAAGTCTACAAGGAAAGTAAGTTGGCCAGGATGGACCTGGGAGAAGAGAGAGAGTGGGCCGAGTCTCTCCTTTAGGCGACCAGGGTCCTGTTAATGAAGGAAAAGAGGCATGTGGCAAAGAGTTGCCGAGAGACACTTCGGTTCTTCTGGGTGTGCAATGTCCAGGCGTTGAAATTTTATTTATTAACTTCAATGTATTGAATAAGCAGCTTGCATCCGGGGAGTAGAGAACTTAGCAAACCTCACCGGGCAAAACAAGGCCATCAGGACTGAAGGAATACAAAACATGACTCCGAAGTGCCAAAAAATCTGGAGCTGGCTTGAAAATAAAAAAAGAGTATTTTCTGTAATATGCACATTTTGGCGTTTATAAAAAAAAAAAACACCACAAAGTTTTTCCAACTTCAACAACTTTTCAGTGGCCTCCAGGCAGAGTTTAATTACAGGTACCCCTCTTTTAGTGATTGCCTTATTTAGTGACCATTCACAGTTATGACAGTGAAGATAAGGTCACTTTGCAACCGATCCTTGCATTTACGAACTTGGAAATTCTGAAAACGGAAAGAAAGCTTCAGTTAGATCTTAAGCAGTCACTTTTTCACATAGCAACTGCTTTGCTTAATGACTGAGTGGCCGGTCCCGATTATGGTCACTAAATGAGGACTACCTGTAGTCAGGAACCTGAGAGACTCCTCTTACTGTGGCTGCTTTATAGAACATCAAGCCATGCTTTATTCTTGCATCTGTGCTGATTTTCTGGACTGCAGTCAGGTGTGACCAATATTCAGCGTTCTGTCAGACCCAGAGGTGGTTCCCCCACTTTTCCCCTTCCTTCTGCTTCATTTTTAGTGTATAAAACTGAACTGGAAAAAGACATCATCTCTGACACCTCCGGGGATTTCCGCAAACTGATGGTTGCACTGGCCAAGGTAGGAATCTCCTAGTATTCCTCAATCTCGGTCACTTTAAGACCCCTGGACTTCAACTCCCAGAATTCCCCAGTCAGCTTTCTGTGGCTTTATTTTGGGTTCTGATGCACTTGTCCATCAGGAAAACCCCTGGCACCTCTTTGGGTAGATTTGCAAATATTTTCGATCTGCTACTGGGCCTATTCTTCTCTCCCATTTCATGTCCAGCATCAGGATTTTTAGGAACAAGGAAATCGGTCACTGCAAGAAGAATCATAGAATGTTATCGTTGATGAGCAATGGTGCTTGGACTATTGCTAATATTGTTGATTAGCCCACAGGACTTATCAATAAATAAATAATTGCAAGATGAGCCATTGACTTCATAGCTAGGAAAATAAATACAATCTATTATAAATGGCTCAAGATCAACCTGCAGCCCACTGTGGTGGGTGGATCAGGTTCGTGCGGATCCAGTCACTTCTGATTTACAGGAGCAGTTCAGTTTGGATTGCCAAACGACTCTGGTTCTGATCTCCAAATTGATTTGATTTGGATCTCGGAATCTGATGGAGGAGTTGGAGCAATGGGATTCCTGCAGGTGTGCAAAAGTTGTGGGGTTGGACTAGATGCCCTCGATGAGTCTTCCCTATCTGGGACTCTGTGATGTATAATAGGGATTGACTTCGTATTTCTGTTCTTTGTTTCAAGGGCAGGAGAAACGAAGACTGTTCTGTGGTGGACTTTGAGCTCATTGACCAAGATGCTCGGGTAAATACTTCTTTCTGTGGCGCAAAACTGAAAATAATGTATTCATTTCTAGTATTTATAGCCACCCATCTCACACAAGTGATTAAAACAACCTGCCTTCCCCCAAATGTAACATAAAATGATCTGCCTCTCCCATTTTGCTTCGTCTATGGTTTCTATTACTTCATCTGGCCACACAAGTTTTCCTTTATAGCTGTGCCTGTTTTTCTGCCACCTTGGCAAGAGCCGGCAGATTCTGCCTGCAGAATTACTGTCTGAGCTTTTAGGATGCTCAGGTTGAGGAGTGCCATCCCAGCGGTGGACAGGTGCTGACCCCAGACGTGTCCCTGTCATCCCCAGGACCTCTACGATGCCGGAGTGAAGCGGAAGGGCACCGATGTTCCCAAGTGGATCAACATTATGACCGAGAGGAGCATCCCCCATCTCCAGAAAGGTAAAACAAGCCCTCTCTGGACAGCTGGGGGTGGAGTCGAAGCAACTTGATACCCAGAACCAACTCCATAGGGCTTCTGGAAGTTGACGTCCACAGAGCTTAAAATTGCCAAGGTTGGACACCTCTGGCCCAGAGCATCAGTTTTCAGAAGAAGGTCCAAGCTTCTTCAGCTCAAAAGGACCAGGAGACAGTAAGGGCAGACTCCTCTGCCAGTCAATGTATAAGACTATGAAAGAAGACTCTGCTCTGTAGTGTAGCAGCTTCACCTTCCAGAGTTTTCTGGTGCATTGAGAGCAGACCACTGAGAAGCTCCTTAAGGACAACCAACTTCTTTGATAAGCAGCACTATCTGGCCAAGATGAAAGAGTTATCTCTGTTGCTCATTGAGTTGTTTCCTACTATCATTTCCCAACCTGAAGGAGACTTAGCAGGAGGACCAGAAATGTTAGTCCAACTTGGGGTCTTCTTCCTGAGCCTGGTAGTGTCATGATCGATTCAACCTACCATTAGATATTGACGTTGTTCTTGAACTTTGTTTCACCCAAACGATTGTTTTGACTTTCCTTCCCTTGTCTTGGTAGTGTTTGAAAGGTACAAGAGCTACAGTCCTTACGATATGTTGGAGAGCATCAAGAAGGAGGTCAAGGGTGACCTTGAGAATGCCTTCTATAATCTGGGTAAGGAATCAGAGAAAGAAGGGAAAGCTGGCCATCTTAACATGGTCATGGACATCTCGGGTGGGTTGTCTCCAAGCAGAGAACTAATTTGCTGGAAACCCACCAACACAGGCCCGATGGAGGGGAAATTGGGATGAAAGCAGTTCCTGGATTTTTTTAAAAGCAGAAGTAGTGATGTCAGAACACCAGGGCACTTAAGAGAGCTTCCTGGCTCTGAGAAATTAGTTTGGGGATGATGAAGCTTTCAAGCTTGGTTGTCTTCAAGATACAGATTTCTGATCCTTTTTAGGCTACATGAAGTCAGAGAGGACAGAAAATAATCTCCAGCTAAATTTGAGGCATGTTCTTGGATGGATTTCTTGTACTATGCAAACTTTGAAGAAGTTGCATTTGTAATTAACACCAGATGGCTGCATTTCAGCAAAATAAAAAAATAAAAAATAAAAATCCATGTCTGTTATGAGTTTCCAATGGAATGTAAACAATGAAAGATTATTCTGCTTTTTAAATAAATTGCATTGATTAGGCCCAGGCATAATTTGTCACTGACATCACGAATTCCAATAGGATTTCTTTTTTCAAATGGAGGACAAACCAAGGCATCAATAGCTAAGACAGAATTAAGGCACCCCCTAATTTTGAGTTCTTTGATTTTAGAATGTGGGTTTTGAGATTTGGCCCTGTCTTCAATCTGTGTAAATTGTCTCTGAGCACATTTACAAAAAGTTTTTAATGATTTCCTTGTTTTATCCGCCACACGTTTCACCCTCATTTTTGATCTTACTCCTTCCACAGTCCAGTGCATTCAAAACAAGCAGCTCTACTTTGCAGATCGGCTGTATGAGTCCATGAAGGTAAGGCCTTGGGGGAGCAGTCTGGCCCCAGTGGTGGAAGCAAAGCTTAGTCTGATTTTTTTTAATGTACAAGGCATGTATACATCTGTGGAGATTCTCCATCGTCCAGGTCACAGTTGTCCCAAAGGTCCTTTTTCCAAAAAGGCAATTCCTGTTTTTTTCCCTTAGAAAATGTTTTGCTTTTTATCCAAGATGCTGAAGAATTAAAGAAGCTTCTTGGATGAGAAGTGAAATGTTTTCAGAAAAAAACCCCCAAGAAAGTCCAGTTGCCTTTGGGGGAAAAAAACACCCTTGTATATCTTTTTGACCAAAACCTGCTAACATCCCTGCAGAGCAACATTGTGGTGGAGATCAGTTGGAGATGCACATTGGAGATGCAGTTGAAGTGTAAATGTCAACCTTTTTTGGGTAGACGCTGACTTCACTGCATTGAATTGACTGATTTGTCACTTAAAAGGAGGTCAAGACAGAAGCCATCGCTTTTAAACCACGCTGATGTTAGACTTGGACATTGCTTCCCCAATGCTGAGCTGCTCTATCATAAAATAATTTCCAGAAACCGCAAAAGTCTTTTTACATCAGGACGCAGGAGAGCAGGAGAGGCATTAATACTTCTGCTTATGCAAATGATCCCCAAGTGCTTTCCCCATCTTTCTGTCAAGGAATTCTAAATTTCCCATTTGCTGGTCGGAGGAAGAAACAAAAAATGCTTTTAAAGATTTCCCAGACATTTCTAGACATTCGGTTTCAGCATGAGGTCTTTTAATTTTCAGGGCAAAGGCACCCGTGACAAGGTCTTAATCCGAACCATGGTTTCTCGCGCTGAAGTTGACATGTTGAAAATTAAGAGTGAATTCAAGAGGAAATACTCAAAGTCCCTCTATTACTTTATCCAGGTGGGTGGACAGGAGGACGGAGCAGGCTCCGGCCTCGGCTTCTCCAATTAAAGTCTCTTAAAGAGAGTCACATCCCCATCAACTGGCGGGGGGCGCGTTTCCTCCATGTCCTGCACCCCCAAATGACGTCTCATGTGCTGTGATTGGGGGGCGGGGGGGAATTGAGCCAAATTTTGTGTACAGGTAGCCCTCAACTTATGACCACAATTGAAGTCAAGAATTTGATATATGAGTTTTGTCCCATTTTACGACCTTTCTTGCCGCAGTTAAGTGTTAAGTGAATGACTGCAGTTGTTAAATTAGTCACACGGTTGTGAAGTGAATCCAGCTTTGATTATCAGAAGGTCGCAAAAGGGGGATCATGTGACCCCAGGGGGACCCTGCAACCGTCATAAATGTGAGTCAGTTGTCCAGCATCCGAATATAAATCACGTGACCTTGGGGGATGCTGCTACAGTCTTAATTGTGAAAAATGGTCCTGAGTCACTCTTTTTCAGTGCCGTTGTTAACTTCGGTCACTAAGTGAACTTTTGTTAAGTGAAGGACCAGCTGGACTGATGTATTTGCTTCGTTCAGAGGGTTAATTCGCTGCTTTCTCTTTGGGGTCTCTCTGCAGCAAGACACAAAGGGGGATTACCAGCGGGCGCTCCTGAATCTCTGCGGCGGAGAAGACTGAAGCCGGAGGGAGGGAGAAATCCCCACCAACCACTCCAAGCTGGAAATGTGCTCCCCCTGCCCCCCACCTCTGCTGCTTTTCCTTCTCTCCCCTGTTGCAGAAGTAGGAGCCCCCGGCTCACTCCGCTTCCGCCTGCTCTGTGTGCAACAACCGCCTCCTGGCTGCCCGTGTCTCTCGCCTTCTTCCCGCCGAGCTCCTGCCAGTAGCTAGTCCCATGAGAGCCACAAGGCTGAAGCAGTTAACATTCCTAAGAGAGGGAAGCGGGTGTGATAATGGGATCCACCACGTGGTCCCATCCCTGGTGGGGTCTGGTCAAAAGGACAAATAAAGGAAAAAAAAAACCACGAGATTTTTACTTTAAAGGAAACTCTGTGCTTGTGCAGTTCTTTGGCTGGCCTAGGGCAACCACAGCTTCCTGGCACGTCAATTGAACATTGGTTTGTTCGGGTTGGGATAAGGACTCCAGCCACGAGCAGGGGGTTGGACTAGAAGACCTCTAAGGTCCCTTCCAACCCTGATTCTATGTTTGTAGCCTCTTTAGGCTAGTAACTTGACTCTACAATCTTCCTTTTTTCTTAAATCTGCCTCAGAACAGCGCCCAGTTTCTGACATTGGCGCCCAGTCTTGTTGGTCTGTGTGTGCCGAGAGAGGAAGGCAGGGGGGTGTTTTCCCAGGGAGGTTTGCAGGAAGCAGATTCACCCCCTGGGCTGTGACCCAGTGGGGAAGAGCTTATTCCTAACGGTGGGGCGAGAGTGGAGGGCAGGTAGTCCTCGACTTACAAACACAGTTGGGACCAGGATGTCTGTTACTAAGTGAGCGGGCAGTTAAGTGAGTCGTGCTCAATTGTACAAATCTTGTTAAGCAAATCATTGCCGTTAAGCAAAATCATGCGATTGTTCAGCAAGTCTGCTTTCCCCCACTGACTTTGTTTGCCTGAAGCCGGCTCGGAAGGTTGCAGGTGGGGTTCACAGGACCCCAGGATGCTGCAACCATGGTAAATATCTGCCAGCTACCAAGTGCCTGAATTTTGATCATGTGACTGTGAGGATGTTGCAACGGTCGTACGTACGAGGACTGGTAGGGAGTCGTTTTTCCAGTGCCCTTGCAACTTTGAAGGGTCGATCAGTCAGTGATTGATAAGTAGTTGGAGGCAGCTGTCTGTCAGCATTTGCTAGTTCGCAGCCTTGTTCTTCCACCTGCACAGAAAATTGTATTTTAGCTAAGAACCTTCCATTTTTCCAGAGCAAAGCCGGCATGTGCCCACCAGGGGGCGCTCAAAGCAAAGCGGACGGCTCTTGGCCGGCTGCGAACCCGTTTTATCCAGGGATAAAAGAAAATCACCCCGGAAAAGGAAGGAGGAGGGAATCTTTCAGCCTGCATCCAGGCTGCGGGAGCAAGACCTGAAGAACACGGGCTTGCAGTAAACGTGTCAGCAGCAAGGGGAAGGGCAATTCCTAGATTAAAAAACAAAACAAAAAAATCAAGGGTCCTTGGTGATGCCAAAGGTTTGCCAACTTGGTGGCTCCCTCTCCTCTAACAGGATCAATGAGTTTGGGGCAATCCCCGAATGAATAAAACCAGTGCCCTGGATTTAAGGGCCAGTGAGACATTGGACACACCTTGCTTTTCTTCATCCAACTTGGTTTAGATAGTCAGGGATCTCACTTGCTCTAGAGGAATTCTGAGAGTTGAAGTAGACTCCAAACAATTGTGGGTGCAACTGACTTTCTTCCACATTCAAAAGATATAAATAGAGGATTTTATAATTACACAAATCAGTACTGGCTGTTCCAAACCGGAGAGATTTCCCCCCCCCAAGGAAAAAAAGAAAAAGCTTTTGCCATCACACCTACACACATTTCAGAATTGTCAGCCATTTATTATTTAAAGTGTGTATATGCATATGGACAAATGATAGATAAAAAAGACTTGTGCGTGTCCAAAAAAGATTTGTGTGCAGAGAAAAAAAATTAATTGTGCCTCAACCTGCAAGTACCACTCTCCAAGGAATTTATATTCAACTTTATTTAGGATTAGGATTTATTTAGGATTCACTAACCACCCCTTAAAGGAGCAGCATTTATTACAAGGGTGTTTAGAATTGCAATGAATGGAAAAGAGCCCGTTAGCGTAAATATTAAAACGCTAAGAGTTTTACTTCCTTCTGTTGCCTTTGGCATTAAGCGGAAAAGCAGAAAAATGATCTATTTGAAAGAAAGAAGAACAGCCAATATATGAGGTGTAATTCATGGGAAGCTGTGGGTGACACACGCATCAGGGTGAAACAGTTAATATGATCTTGAAAAGGAAACATTACTTTTCACCAGAAATTTATTTAGAAGCCCTATTTGAACAGAGGGAGATTTGCACGGGACAAGCTGTCAAAGCTATATAAATTGATATAATTTTACAACATCCCAATGCAAAATTGAACTCGGGTTGAGTGCATTATGGTGAATAATAGCAGCCAGTTGAAATGATGAATTTACTAGTCATTGACAAACCAATACTGTCCTATAACTAAAATCAAATGCAAAAAAAAAATGTTTTCTCTGATTTTTTTTGGCCACTGAGGATATTTGAAGGAAAGCAGTTCATTCAGTGCAATTGATCGTTCTCTTACGCCCAAATTTCATCAGATACAGAAACTCATTTTCTTGGTCACCTGACCTCCCTCTTGTACACGCCGTGCCCAAAGCAGAGGGAGGGGCCATTCCCAAAGAGAGGGCCCAGAGATGCTGGCCTGTAGCATCTAAGGAGGCTTCTGCATATCTTTGGGTCTCTGCCCCAGTGCTGGAGGGCCAGGAATCGGCAGGCTTGGCAGGGCTGGCTCAGATTGAGAAGGGGGGGGGGCTCCATCACCTTCTACAGATAGGCCTTGACTTGTTTAGTGACTGTTCGGTGTTACAACTGTGCTGAAAAAAAATGACTTACAACCCCCCTCTCTCTTATGACCCTCGTGGCATCCCCATGGTCACATGGCCAAAATTCGGGTGCCTGGCGATGGCAGCACAGGATTGCCATTTGCAGCTTTTCTAGCTGGCTTCCGACGATGGGGGGAGCCACACTTGCTTAACAGCTACGTGATTCACTTAACAACAGCAGCAAAAATCTCACAAAGTTGGGCACAACTCAACAACCACCTCACTTTTAGCAAGTGTTGTCATAAGCCGAGGCCTGTCTGCATCTCCACCGGCCTCCCCCTTCCATCCACCAGCGGAGGAGGGGGTGAGGGGGGGCTCCATCTCAGGGCACCAAGTCTTGGCAGTGCCAACCCTCCACCCCACCTTTCCAGAGCTGCATGCCTCTTTTCTGCCGCCAAACTTTCAGCAGGGCCTGGAAAAGCCGGAGGAAACGCCACCTGGCGCCGACGGGGACCGGCTTCTGCACCAGCCTCCTCGCTCAGCCAAGGGCCCGGCTCTTCCGCAGGGGCCATCTGCCCTCCTTATTTCTCCTCATCTGGGTGGGCCTCCGGCTTGGGGGGAGGAAGATACTCACCAAATGCTTTGTTGATGCGAAAACCCCAAAGGAGGAGGAGTGGCAGGCAAGGATGGCCGCCAGCCAAGCCTGCTAATCACAGCTGCCTCTGAAGTGGCTCTAATCAGCAGTGTGAGGTTGTCTCAACTCCAGCGTTGTTTGCTCAGGCTGGCAGTTTAGAGGTGCTGCTGTACAAGGTATTTGTAGTCGTAATTTCTCCAAATGGGGAAGGCAAACATCAGGAAAATCAGCAAATTAACGTCTGACGTTTTCAAATTAGAAGGATGCACCCCCATCCTCCTGGGAAGGAGCCGGAGGTGGGCAGGGGGGGGGGGCTGCTCAATGGGAAGGCTGGTCTTCCTGCAGAGGAACGCTGAGAATGGGGAAGGGGACAGAGAGGCGTCTAAAAAAAATGAGGTAGGGATTGGACCCCTGACCCTTTTGTATAAGCATTCCACCCATGACGATGTGGGCAAAAGGGTTGCGGGTTCCACAAACGACTGTCTCTGCCAAGGCACCCAAACCCTTTGAACAGAAGCTGTCTGGGTGACCTTGGGCCACTCCACCCCCCTCTCTCTCTCAGTCCAGCCCACCTCGCAGGGCTGTAGTTGTGGGGAAAATAGGAGGAGGGAGGAGTATTGTGTGTGCCTGCCACCTTGAGTCAGTGATACAAATAAAATGAGTGAAGCTTCCTGGAAAGACCCAGGAGGAGTACCAAAGACCCTGGTCCACTGCCAAGGGAGAACTAAAAGGAGAAAGGTACAAGGGGCAAATGTGGCGTTTCTGTGGCTCCTGAGGTCAGGATGGGCCCCCTCAGCTGGGCATTGTGAAGGACAGATCTTTGCCTCCGCTTGGGGATGGAAGGGAAGGAGACATACTTGTTCTACACATCTCCAGAGACCCAACTTTGATCATAAGCATCTTGTCCTACTCAAAGTTTGGCATCAAAGGTGCTTTCTTGAGTTTGGTGCTCATCCTCTTGCTGTAGGGTGCAGTTTCCAATGCACACTCACATCTCTGGGCTGAGGTGACCCCCCCTCCCAACTGATGATTCAGGAATGGTGCACAGGAACCAGAGGCACCTTCCCATCCATCTTTACAGCTGGGAAGATTGTAACTCACAGAAGAAACCAACAGGACTAGAATCTTGGTACAGAACTGGCCAACCGGTTATCAGGAAGGTCTACTAAGGGGTTAAAAAAGTCAGGTTGTGACCCGTGATTGAAGACCCCATTCTGTGTGTTGAAGCTCCACCCCTATTTAACAGCTGCCCCACTTGCAGGTTGATGTGGCTTTGATCTCCTGACCACAGGCGCCATCTTGCCGTTTTTGTCCCCTCAGCCCAAGAAACGCGTGGTCAGTTTTGTCCAACCCAACATTGGCTCAGTGTGCTGGGCTATCCTCAACAGGGACCGATGGGGCGGTGCACCTGATGTGGGCTGTTATGTAGCACATCTGGGGCGCCAGGTTGAAGAAGAGACACCGAAGCTCCCCTAATGTCTTCCCCAACTGAAGTGGAAACTATTCACCATAAAGTTTTTAAAATCCCTCATCAAACATTCTTCGTCGGAGTTTATAACCACCAGGACTTAAGAAACGGGGTGGGCAACCTTTCCTGTAATGAGCCCGTTAGGCCACGTTTCCCCCTGGAAGATTATAATTAATTACCTCCAATCTGCCAGTAATCCAGTTGTTCTGAAGTCAGGCACGGATAAAACAAGTCAATTTTCTGCCTCTGTTTATTATCTTTAAACATTTTAATATCGGGAGGAAGCTGACAAGTGGCTGAGGGTGATTTCATGCTGCTCACAAGCGACTCTTGGGGCAGGGGTCTGCCTAGAATCCAGACCCTCCCCCTGGGTGAATCCCTGGTGGAAGGAGAAGCCCAT